TTTGAGCTTGATTAAAAATAAAAGCCGTATTTTATTTTAATCTGTATTACTTCTCAATGAATATGTTGATGTAACTTATTTAAGTCAAATTACAAGATATATATATATATATATATATATATATATATATATATATATAACAACTAGTAATTGTTTGAATACAAGATTATATTTAAGATCCAGATTTATTTATGGTTGGAAATTAATGCATTCAAAATAATGAGTAATAATTCAATAATATGGTACATGATTTCAAAATTAAATCACCATTACAAATGTATTAAAATGTTTAATTTTAATTTATTATAAAATAATTAAAAGGTAATAACAATTTTGATGAGATTAATTTAAATGATAAATATTTATCATATGAATTAATCTTTTTGAAGTGCTTAAATGTATGTAATGGGTTTTTTTGGTAAAAATTGGAAATTGAAATCAACGTAATGATGTTTTCAAGAAAAATTAATTTGAATAATTAACATTCAAAACAAAAAACCAATGTAAATAGTTTAAAGTTCCAGCATTCATCAAAATTACAAGCTAAATTTTTTTTATAATTTATTGTAAGATATTTGAATTATGTTTATTAAATTGCATACAATAGAAATATAAATTTTCAATGTTGAAATTCATTGGTACAATAATTACATCACAAAATTAATTTAAATTTCTCTGATGTTTTAATTCATACATGAATTTATTCTTTCTATTTCTATATAATATTTCTCACACATTATATTGAAAGTAGAAAAGTACTTTTCAGCATTTTTATCAAAGAAACACATAACAAGTTTTTATCTTTGGACTAAATTTAGATTTTTTGGAGATTCTATTTTCATTATCTAAAATTGGGGAAAATATTGGTGAACATGAATTATTTTAAAAGTATCGAATATAGATGAAGTGAGGGTAATACAACATCAAACAGTATTATAGAGATATTGACTTCCTCTACATCGGAATCAAAGATATTCATCAAAAGTATCCGTATTGATCTGATATATGCTGTTATCGTGTCAATTTATATTCAGTTAGCTTATCATTCTGGTTGATTTTGTTAACAACTTCTTTCAGTATCAATTTGTTCATCCGATAAACATGTTTCATTTGATATAGACATGAAAAATCATATGGCCATATGTTTCATTTGATATAGACATGAAAAATCATCAGCATGGTAAAAAGGTTTCATATTCTCTTAAAAATTTTAGAATGATTTTCAAGAGGATTATTAATGAAAAAAATAAGGATTATTAATAAATTATATTAACATTAATCTTGATTAACAGGACTGGCAAATATCTATGAGAAACACTGCTAGTAGATTGATATCCATGTTATAGCAATACGGCGCACGGTCTGTGCGAAGGTCCGCTGTGAGTGAGGAATAAGTTGAATAATTATTAATACTGTATATATATATATATATATATATATATGAATGTTCGATTTTTAAGATAAAGAGTAAAATGCAACATGGTGTGCAAACCACCTCATGTATCGTTCAAAGCTAAAGAAATGCACTGTTGTGATGTCAAACAAGAAAAAAGTGACAGCATGAGGCTCTCAACTTGTACTGGTCAATGGTGAACTCAACGGGTCAGGACTGCAGTATCTCCCAGTTCCCTATCGAAGACGTGTACGGCAGCACCGGGTGAAAACGCAAGAGACAAACGAAACGAGTTTCATACCGCAGTTTCACACTTTATAGACGGAAGGATAGGAAAGCGAGTATACTCCACAAATTCTTCCTTTGACACTCATAAAGTAATTGGGTCCAGCCAGTCCCATGTTACCCGGTCTGGCTTCATCCTTTCATTCTTGTGGGGCTTGATGGGATCTTCCGATTCATTTTTTCCTATATACTCGGCCCCCTTTCCACTTGACAAATTCTTCCCGTCCTTTGGATTATTTTACTCCGTCCTGGTTTTTCTGGCCTTGTGGCTGCAAGACCGAAGTAAGCCATGGACTCTCGTTTCACCACCCAACACACACGAATTTGCAGCCGGCTTCTCAACCCCACCCAGGTCTCTGTGCGTAGAAGCCTCCTCTAAGAACGCTTAAATGCTTTCAACGAAGATCCCTCCCCATATTTGTCATGTCATTTCACCATCTGCCGATTCACCTGCCTCTGCTCCTTCGAAACTCATGAACTTTCGAGATGTCTTGTAGCGCAGAAGGAGATCCAGCTACTTCTCATTAACTTTTACTAATGACTCATTAGTGATCCAGCTCCATTGTAGACCTATTTCTTCTGACTGTTTTTAATTCACATTAAAAGCTCAAAATTCACTGAATTTCTTCAATCAGGCCTGAATTCCTCAGTGTCCAATCACTGGACTCGTCTCATTTCAGTCGCAAGAAACTGTGATTACATCCAGTTTCCGAACTGGTGATGGCAAGGTACAGGAGTAAGGTTGCAGGGTCTCAACTTCTCTTTGCAGACGTGGGCAAATCAGGGCGGTGGCCCTGCTCGCAGCGGCGTACATTGATATTTTCTGTCGGAGTCGGGATTCCAGATGCTCCTCTGTACTTGCGCAGCGTGATTGAAGCTGTGCTGATTCAGACCAGTTTGTATCTGTTAATCTCAGGGCAGCGCATGCACAGGCTAGCAAATGAGAGAGACTGTCTCGTTATGCCATTTGAGGACATAGAAGATGATGTGAAGCTGCCTCTGCTCCAAATTCAAGGAGAGGAAATCACAAATGGTACCCTTGGAAGATGAAGTCAACATTTCGGGCCCCACGAGGTGGTTCGAGAGCTGAAAGGTCTTCTGCATCCCAGCCCAATTGCAAACAAGAACCGTTGTAGACTAGGAGTCTAAGACATACGAGAAAACAATGTCACATAAGAAATTTAAATAAAATTTTCTACTACATTTGTATATCTCTTTGAGCTATGCACAGACTGAGGATATATAGCATACTGTGCGTCTATTTGGAATAATTCAAGTCCACATGGATTTCTTTCCATGAAAATATAAACGTTGTCAATGCAGTATATCTTGCGATATTCGCCATCGATTTTCACCTCATGCCCAAATCCACAGTAAATACCAAATGAAAAAGAAGAAGAATCAGTTTATATATTACATGAAGCAGGAATATAATCAAATCTGCACTGTCTCCTGCTTTTGATATTATCCAAATTTTGTAAACTACTTTATCTTACTAAATATAAGTTGAGAATTCAGGAAACAAATTGCTTGATGAGTTTTTCATTTTTTGATACAGGTTTCATTATACTATGAATATTTATGTTGGGCAAAAGTGTTCTGATTCAAAAAATTTCCGCGTGTTGCGAAATTCATTGCAATTTATGTTTTTTACAATGAAATACATGATATCACAGTCATCAAAATTATTTGAATGCCAACAATTTTTTTGTTTATATTTGGTTTCAAGTAGAGTATAATTCATTATTTTATAATTTTTGATTACATAATCATGAGGAGTAGAGATATTTTCCAACATCAAGGTTCACCATAAAACCTTGGAGATACATTTTTTTTAGAGGATATTTAAATATTACTAGATATATATAATAAATAAGTTCTACGTCTGGAACAATTCTTAATACAATACCGAATGCAGCGAGGTGATTTATAGGATATATAGATTTGATTAACTTCATCTTGTTCAATTACACCCTTAACTTTGATAAAAACATCATTACTATCTGATGCATGCTATGTCCAGAAAACATCAAATTACGAAATTGAATTCCCACACTTGAATGAATATTAGTTCAGAATAGTTGTAATAACTAAGCAAACAAAATTTTCAAAGTAATTTCGATAATTATCTTCTCATTTTATTGAAGAATTCATCCATCAATTTAATGGATTGATGAGAATCCAAATAGATTGTATTTGTCACCAAATTTTTAAAATTTAAGTGATCTACTCTGAATTTGAATTCTGAACGAGTCATATATCAGAAATGTAGATTCATATCATATATTATCTGTTGGTATGTATATATCAAGATGTAAGATTTTTCATGTAACTTTTTTAAAAAATTACAATAAAATTTTGAAAAAATGGTTTTTATAAATTAAAGAAAATTCTACATTTATAATAACCCCCTTCTGATGGATTGATGATTAAGGTGATCAAAAATTTTCTTGATTAAATGTCAAATTTTTTAAAGACTTTATGTAAGAGATGTCTCTAATATGATATTTATTCATGCTTCTTTCTAAATGTTAGTGATATTGTTCTTGGAATCACTTGGATGCATCTTGAAAGCAAAGAGTCCAAAGATAAGGAAACACATTAGGAAAAAATCAAATAAAAGTAAGTAGCCATTGGCCTTGTGACTTGATAATATACGACCACGACTTTGGGTAATGATGAATGGTAGAAGAAACAATGATGAGGCTCTAGCTGTAACAAACAGCTCCAGTACATGCATTTTGATATTCAGAATTTTATCTAAGAACAGTTTAGTTAAGTCAATTATCTTTCTGATTACTTGTCGAGAAGAAGGATAAGGAAAGAAAGCCAAAAATGCTTTGCAACAAGTGACTCTCTCGTTCAGGTCCTGGTTTTCTGACTTGGACTGCGCATCTCTGAATCCATGTACAGTAAGTCAGGATGGCATGAGGATCAGAACAAACGAATCACACGTGTTTCATACTTGGATGTTGTGAGGAAGAAGACGAGGCGACAGCCGTCAGAGCCCAGCTCCCAACTCTTCTGTCCCTTTCCCACTTTATTCTTCTTTTCGTCCTTTTCTAAAAATTCTATTTGCAGATTGGGAACATTTCGTTCTCACTTTCTCTTTGTCTGCGTCTTGTAGAATTTGGACTGGAAGACCAACACCCTGCAAAGTCTTTCGGCCCTTTGGCTTCAACAACCTTTTACGCAGACCAGGTCCCAACCTCGCGACTTCATGCTGCAGGCTCCTTCTAAAGGGTTTAAAGGCTCTCCTTAACATGCCTGTCAGTATCCACCATCACCGCATCCTCTATTCCCTGGGAAGCTCCGCTTTCGTGCATCAGTCTGTGAACATTGCTCTGGAAATTCCGAAGGATTCACTCCCTCATCGTTTCCATCGCTTACCACTTGTCAAGCCGTTCATGAACATTGGTTGTGCACGATCCGAAATCCTCATATTCCGAATCCTACAGTAATTCAGAGTGTTTCAGACTACTCCACTGGTTGAATTTTGGAGTAAAGAAGTCACCATCTTCTATTTGCTGAGATGGTGATGGCAATGGAAAGGAGGAAGGTTGCAGATATGCTCAATTTCTTTCGCGGTGAGAGAACTCGAGTCCAGCTTGCTCTCATCACCGTGCAATTGGGCTACGGTGTCTATTATGTCTTGACCAAAGCTGCCATGAGTGAAGGCGTGAACCGGTTCGTCTTTGCTGTGTACCGAGACGCGATCGCCCTGTGCCTCCTGGTGCCACTTGCATTCTTCTCAGAGAGAAATCTGCGAACTCCTTTCACAGTTCCCGTTTGCTTGTTAATCGTGGCGTTGGGATTCACGGGAATATTTCTGCAGCAGACGCTGTTCCTGGCAGGACTCGCGTACACCAACACGGCATTCGCAGCTGCAATGCAGAATGCCATTCCCGTCTTCACGTTCATGATTGCTGTGGTGTGCAAGTTCGAGGTGATTCGCTTGAACAAGCCTGACGGAATGGCCAAAGTCGTTGGCATCTGCTCGGCCGTGGTGGGGGCTTTCACAATGTGTCTCTACAAGGGACCGACTCTGTTCGGCACGGACTCATCGTCGCAGCAGGAGCAGGCAGCTGAGGTCGTGGCCCAGACTGGTGCAAATAATTGGTTGGCGTCCACTTTGCTGAGCTATGGGGTGGACTACTGGCAGATGGGCGCTCTGTGCCTGGTGGCGAATTGCTTGTGCATGGGCATTTACACCAATCTGCAGATCCCGGCCCTGAAGAGATTCCCAGCTCCGGTGTCGCTGTCGGCTTCTTCGATCTTCGTCGGGGCCATGTTCTTGCTGATCACGGGTCTATCGAGCGTTTCGGAAGCGTCTGAGTGGATTCTGCACTCTCCCGGGACGATCGTGTCTGTGGTGTACGCTGGTGCTGTGGCTTCGGGACTGAACTTCTCTCTGCAGACGTGGGCAAATCAGCGCGGAGGTCCTGTGCTGGTGGCGGCGTACATTCCTCTGCAGACTGTGTTCTCTGCATTTCTGGGAGTGGTGATTCTGGATGATCCTCTGTACTTGGGCAGCGTGATTGGAGCTGTGCTGATTCTGATGGGTCTGTATTTGGTAATCTGGGGCCAGCGGCTGCACAGGCTGGCGAAAGAGAGAGAATGTCTTGGAATGCCATTTGAGGGAGTGGAGGATGATATCAAGGTACCTCTACTCCAAAATCAGGCAGAGGATAGCTCATATGGCACCATTCGAAGGTGATCTAGACGTGTCGGGCTCTTGAATTTCGAAATTTAGATTAGATTCCCCTTTCATACCAGTGCAATTGCTGGAGATTGACATTTGACTACAAATTTCTTGGAGGATCGACAAATTCTCGCCACCGCAATAGAACAGACTCAGTAGGGGATAGAAACACATACCATCAATCTTCACTATATAATTTGTATATACGAGTAATCAGTTCACATTCCGTGAGCATGTAATATAATTAATTGCGACCACTTATGTCCGCATCTCATTACACAACTTCTCGTTACGAAACTGCATATTTTCTTCGTAAGCTGTAACAATCTGGAATGCAAATGTCAACTCTGAAATCTGTGACCAAATTTCCACGATGTCAAAACTGACCAGAATCAGTGGATTTTGATCCAAGCATAAGTATCTACTATCACTTTTCAGGAAACTTGCTTCGCCCCACACTTACAGAGTTGACTTTTGCATTCCAGAATGATAAATTTACAACTCTGAAAGTTAATCTACCTGAACCCATGAATGGGGAGCACGTAAGTTGCTCCAAGGAACATCATGACCACGTAAGGCACTCCAAGCAGCTAGCAGCAATCAATAACCGCGCCGTTATCGACTCATCCCTTTTACAGTTGCCCGAAACTAGTTCATGAGTGGTCGGAGTGCCCAAAACAGTCATGTCTGCTGAATGGAATTTGGAAATATTTTATTCGAACTTCTACAAGTTTGGTGCCAAATTTTCTGAGTTGATCCTTTCGGGCTGACGCAAGGCAGTCAAGCTCATCGACGTGAGCCAAAGCCATTGGTGCCCACAATGTTCAGAACCAGCAACGGCAAATGAAGGGAGCATCCCCCGAGGGCCAGAGTCGAGGCTCTGCTTTTCAGGCGCATCACGTTTGAGTTCGGTTTTGGTTCATGTCACGTGACTACAGGTGCAGCAGCAAAGTTCGCCGGCGAAAGTTTCAAGAATAGAACTCCGATTTTTTGTAAGTGCACGGCTTCTTGGGTAGGCAACTACATATGCCAAGGTCTCCCACATGTTTTACAAATAGCAGTGGTTCGAGCGACTAGTTTGATTATGATACCATCCGCATCTTCTGTGTTAGTCGTGTTCAAAGTTTCAAAGGTGAAGGACATGACATAGAAATTTGGTATTGGCCCTTAGTAAGGTAATTTGACCTTTGGCATTCGTATATTGTTGGTTCAGATTTATCTTCCTACATATCAAATTAGAATGTTACTATTCCTTTTGACTGAAAATTCTCTTCCAATCCGGACAAGAGTGTGAAGATTCCACTGCTCTAAACTCACAGTGTTTAATATTAAATAAAAGTTAATACTTCGATTATGTTTTAGAATTTTCGATCGAGTTCAATTTACATTTGAATGTTTCAGTTTAAAACATGTAATATAAAACAAAGAAATGAGAATTTTTTATATAATAGTAGAATGATCTTTTTTTTTTCCATCATTGTAATTCATTATGCTAGAAATTATAAATTTGATCATAAAACTTATATATATCACAGATAAGTTAAAAGAAATTGTAAGATATTTCAAATCCGTCAATTTTGGGAGAAAAACTACAGTACTGTAATCAACATATAGTTCTTTAGTCTAAAAATAGTCATTTTGAAATTTTTTTGAAATAATGTTATGGTAGTCACAAACCATTCCTGACTACAACTAAGAACTATTGAAAGTTTATCTTGTTCGATACAACTTCATATATTCAGTTCATAGATCATACTATTTTAATTTTTACTGATACACTTTGAATTTGTATCTTACTAAAAAACACAAAGTTGTCATGAAATGTTCCACACAGTAATTACACGATGAAAATTGATTGCAGCTTTGATCAATATGATCGTACTGTGCTCATTATCTCGGAATTAAAAAACTTCTTACATATGATAAGTGAGAATCTCATCACGGTCAATGTTATCTGATATAGAATTTTAATACGATCAACTTATCAATAATATAGCATTCAATGATTAAAGCTGTTATATTGTGATTTGAATAGCTTGATGAATGTCGAAGCACACTATATTACAGGTTTCCAAAATGTCTTAAATAGTGTTTGGATTGCAATGGTATATTTTTGGATATATTATATAACCGTATTTTGTTTAGCTATTCGTAACCGGTTGATTGATTCAAATCCACTATGTTCAATAGGGATTTTAATTTTAATAAAATAGGGAGCGGGCAAGTTATCTCTAGGTTACGGTTAATTAACTTTCACTACAGGGTTTGGGATTGGGAGTGAATAGCAATAGATGTCTAAAATAGTTGTTGGACCAAGTAGAAAAGAGCTTATAGTAGGGTGAAGGTTAATAAGCATTAAGTGAGACTTAACTAGCCACTCTCTACAAATAGTTTATAAAATTAGTTAATAAATGAGAGTGGTTATGCTACGCGTCATAACGAAAATGAAACCAGTGGCAAGAATGCTTCCTCCTAATTTAAATACTCCAAATTCTGACCACAATCATTTCGTGCATCAGAAGTTCTCTCTCTTTCAGTGGCACCTGATTGATGCACTTCTTGAGGTTTGGCTATAGATCCATTCAAGTAGTGGGAGGTTCGGAGCGTCATGATAGTATCACTCATACAATAATCCCAGCGGTATTTAAATGCGCTCCTCTAATCTGCATGTTTTTGACACTCATGTTGGCATGGACGACATTTGTCCCTCCTTTATTCATGTCATTTAAAGTGTGCGTTATGCGCTATCCGGTCAATCTGCTGGCTCCTTTGAGTCCTTGGGACACACGAGCTTCAAAAGCAATCCTTACCGGTTGTTATCTTGCTTGGGCGTCGTAAGTCTCGAGTACTTTTACTCATATGGATATCATTCGTTCACTTTTCACTTTCCACTCCCTGAATCTTCCTTAATTTACACATTCGTTTTGTGGGGTCCGGGCTACCTTCCAAACCTCTCACAGCACTAAATATGTAGATCCCCTCGCCTAATCTGGGCTCGTGGGCCCCAGATTTCCCATTGCTAACTTGCTGGCTGGATGATGTCTCTCGGAGCACCATCCTTTTTGACTTTCGTACTATCTGATTCAGAATCAATACCTTTAGTGCACCTATTGGGTGAGGCTCGTGATTGTTTGGCAAGTCAGTTCATGTGGTCGTCGCTTCACTGCATGCCCTCCTATTCCTATTACATTCATCCATCGGGTTGAGCCCAAGGATCTTCACACACTCGATTCAGCATCGGCCTCATCTCCCCATCCTCCGTGACGGTGGTTCAAGGAAGACTAGCAACAGAGAATCATGTCCTACATGATAGACGTACGTGTTACTCTCGTCGTATTGCGCTCTCAAGTCTGATTGCTGACTGAGCCAGTTTGACTCCGGTCTTGCCGGTCACGGTCGGATCAGACAGACGAGTTATACTTTCGCACACGTACAGCGAAGGCCACGGGAAGCAAAGCAACTGGGTCCTGAATATGCTCGACTTCCAACGATTTGACTGCAAGACCCAGATCCCCGAACTTCGAGCGCCCAGAGACTGTATCACTTCGGGACGCTGACCTGGTCTCAAGATGTCGAACGACCATTCGCTCGCTGTAATGTATACATCCCTCCATCTCGGAGATTTCCATCATTCCCGTAGTTCACTCGCCTCTGCTTCTGCTTCTTCTGCATCCTCGATTGAAATTATTATACTATCTTCCCGGAGCAAGACGATTTCAAGGCGGTTTGATAGGAGCAAACATTCTTCTTAATCTCCGACAGTTTGAACATAGTTCGCTGCGTTTACGAGTGTTTATTTCGTTTAATTACATCGGAAGACGTCCTGAATATATTCAAGGCCGAGATGGCAATGGCACACGAGAGGAGGAAGGTGGCCGATATGTTTAATTTCTTTCGTGGCGAGAGGACCCGAGTCCAACTTGCTCTCATTACCGTGCAATTGGGCTACGGGGTCTATTATGTCTTGACCAAAGTTGCCATGAGTGAAGGCGTGAACCGATTCGTCTTTGCTGTGTACCGAGACGCGATCGCCCTGTGCCTCCTGGTGCCACTTGCATTCTTCTCAGAGAGAAATCTCCGAACTCCTTTCACAGTTCCCGTTTGCTTGTTAATCGTGGCGTTGGGATTCACGGGAATATTTCTGCAGCAGACGCTGTTCCTGGCAGGACTCGCGTACACCAACACGGCATTCGCAGCTGCAATGCAGAATGCCATTCCCGTCTTCACGTTCATGATTGCTGTGGTGTGCAAGTTCGAGGTGATTCGCTTGAACAAGCCTGACGGAATGGCCAAAGTCGTTGGCATCTGCTCGGCCGTGGCGGGGGCTTTCACAATGTGTCTCTACAAGGGACCGACTCTGTTCGGCACGGACTCATCGTCGCAGCAGGAGCAGGCAGCTGAGGTCGTGGCCCAGACTGGTGCAGACAATTGGTTGGCGTCCACTTTGCTGAGCTATGGGGTGGACTACTGGCAGATGGGCGCTCTGTGCCTGGTGGCGAATTGCTTGTGCATGGGCATTTACACCAACCTGCAGATCCCGGCCCTGAAGAGATTTCCAGCTCCGGTGTCGCTGTCGGCTTCTTCGATCTTCGTCGGGGCCATGTTCTTGCTGATCACGGGTCTGTCGAGCGTTTCGGAAGCGTCTGAGTGGATTCTGCACTCTCCCGGGACGATCGTGTCTGTGGTGTACGCTGGTGCTGTGGCTTCGGGACTGAACTTCTCTCTGCAGACGTGGGCAAATCAGCGCGGAGGTCCTGTGCTGGTGGCGGCGTACATTCCTCTGCAGACTGTGTTCTCTGCATTTCTGGGAGTGGTGATTCTGGATGATCCTCTGTACTTGGGCAGCGTGATTGGAGCTGTGCTGATTCTGATGGGTCTGTATTTGGTAATCTGGGGCCAGCGGCTGCATAGGCTGGCGAAAGAGAGAGACTGTCTTGGAATGCCATTTGAGAGAGTGGAGGATGATATCAAGGTACCTCTCCTCCAAAATCAGGCAGAGGATAGCTCATATCATATGAGTATATGGTGCCATATGACTCATATGCCATATGAGTCATATGGCACCATTCGAAGGTGAAAAGTACATGTCGGAGTCTTGGCTTTCGACATTTAGACTAGACTAGAATCCCCCTTTCTTACCAGCGCAATTGCTGGAGATAATCATTTGAGGATAATAATTTTGAGGTTCGATACATTCTCGCCAACACAATTGAATAGATTCAGTAGGGGATGGCTACAAATACCATCAATCGTCACAATAATTTTGTATATACGAGTGAGCAGTTCACATTACGTGAGCATGTAACATAATTGACTGCTACCATTTCTGGTCTGAAATTCATTCATAGTTCCAGCGGAAACTGCTCATATATTCTTGAAATTAGAGCAGTCTTTACTGCAATGTAGAATATGGAATCTTTGCCCAGTGCTTCACGCTATCACATTGTTTACGCTCAAATAAGCCTACTTTCAGTTCCAAGGAACTTTCATCGCACCCACACGACTGCCAGCACACTTCGTAGGTCCAAAACAGGTCAATTCGAAACCAGTTCGTGTTCAATCGGAAATATGTGTTCAGCACAGTACTTCATGAACAGGTCAGGGACTCTCTGCATCGTTCAATCAACCACCGCTGTCTCGATTTCATCATCTGAGCTTCTCCTTTTGAATACATTGATGGTCATTACTTTCTGAGTTCACACGGCAATTTTTATAAATTGTTTTGAACTCTGCGATCTTCTGAACCGATGCGAGAGGATCCCACCACCTTGAGAAACGATAGCGGACAACGACGGAAGAATATCGACAGAACAATCGAAGAAGTAGACGAATCCACGTTCCCAACCATCTCTGGTAGATCTCCTTTTGGCATGACACAACAAAGCACTCCGCATTATAGCAAAATTGGTCAAAAAAAGCTTGGTGCATACTATACAATCCTTACTACAGAGTTGAGCTTCTGAGTCACTCGCCTAGTAACTCAGAAGCGGCTCTCACGAGAACAGCAATCCCTCATGGCTCCTATGATGCATAAATAACACTCTTGCAGGACTATTGACAAGGTAATATCATTCTCTTAAAAAGTTCACGTATTCGTCGAATATCACGATTATAAGCTATTATAGATCCGAATTTTGTTCAATAGATCATATATTTTGCTTGCTCTAAAAGCTTTTCAAAACGCGTCACAGATGATCATTACTTTGAAATTCCAAATGAGTAATCATGAGGAAATATATAATTATACATGTAATTACTCGAAAGAAATCTGGTGGTCAAAAGAGTCAACGAGATGTTCCACATTGGCTTTTTGAGAAGACAGTATGGAATCAGATGCTGTTTCTTTAACCATATAAAATATATATCTCAATGTTAACCTATCAATATCTTTTGCACATACTAATGTATATTTATTGTCTAGCATAATATTCATGCACCATACAATAGGAGAGATGACTAAGTCTACATGGGTCTGCCATCTAAGAATTTATGCCAAAACATATTAAGTTTTTCAAGCGAGATATGAAGTAAAATAACAGTTCATATTTCACATGAAAACTAGAAAAACATCAAAAGAACTTCAAAAGCGTGATTTAGACTTGCTATTGAATATAAAGTCTCATATTAATATATTCAAAATTGGTGAATGAGAATGTAATATGTTTTAGTCACATAGTATCTATTCCAATGTTAGAAAAAGTTTTAAAAACCATATACCAAGAAACATTTATGATAATTATGATGTAATTGTATCAGTCATGTGTGGATAGCAAGCGCACAAATTTTTGCCATCCACTGAGGACTACGTGGGCTTTTTGTCAGTAAAAGTTCTTGTACGAAAATTATCATAGTCATGTAATCAAACTAAAGTATTGTACCAAACAAACATTCTTTCTCTTCATTTAAGATAAACCGTATATATGAATATTGTTAGAGCAAAATATATGAAAAAGTCGCGACCAAATATCTAAAAATCTACCATCTAAAAATCGCCTTCTCGCGCAGTCATGACTCAGATGTGAAAGGACCTCGTAGAAGATGTAGTACCGCATTTGGCTCGGGTCACGTCTCAAGGGCCCCATGAGTAAACCAGGAGAGGGCAGAATAGTTCTAAACCAGAGGGAAGGGTCTCGGAGCCCAGTCAGATTGCGCGCTCTCAAGTTGGTTTCGTGACCATGGCAAAGGGTCTCGGGGCTCCAGGTCCGTTGGATCGGGGCAGACGCGACAGAGCACATGAGTTCCATATTTGGATGTACGTGCGGTGCTGCAAGCAAGTTCGGTCCTGCACGCGCTCCGTCCAACTTCGCCGCAGCCTCCTGGTCCTCCACAAGTTTGACTGCTGGACCCGAAGGGCCAAAGACTCTGCCGTACCGGTGCGGATATTGACCGGGTAGTCAGATTCTGCGCCGCTACGCTCTCCCAGGCAAACGTATAAACGCTCGCATTCTAACTCCCTCCCATATCCAGCAGCGCATCATCATCCCCCTCTGCTGCCCCTTGCTTCTTCCTTTATTGCATCCTCGTAATATAAACTCCACCCCTCTGGCAGATTTTAGAGGGAATTCAATCTTCATCCCCCGAATCCACACCAGCTGAATGCGGAAGTGTTTCTGCACTGACTATTCTGGCCCAGCTCGCTGCTTGTGAGTGGTTTGATTCATCCTCGTTCAGAATCGCTTCACGAGTTTAGTTGGCCGAGATGGTGATGGCACATGAGAGGAGGAAGGTGGCCGATATGTTTAATTTCTTTCGTGGCGAGAGGACCCGAGTCCAGCTTGCTCTCATTACCGTGCAATTGGGCTACGGTGTCTATTATGTCTTGACCAAAGCTGCCATGAGTGAAGGCGTGAACCGGTTCGTCTTTGCTGTGTACCGAGACGCGATCGCCCTGTGCCTCCTGGTGCCACTTGCATTCTTCTCAGAGAGAAATCTGCGAACTCCTTTCACAGTTCCCGTTTGCTTGTTAATCGTGGCGTTGGGATTCACGGGAATATTTCTGCAGCAGACGCTGTTCCTGGCAGGACTCGCGTACACCAACACGGCATTCGCAGCTGCAATGCAGAATGCCATTCCCGTCTTCACGTTCATGATTGCTGTGGTGTGCAAGTTCGAGGTGATTCGCTTGAACAAGCCTGACGGAATGGCCAAAGTCGTTGGCATCTGCTCGGCCGTGGTGGGAGCTTTCACAATGTGTCTCTACAAGGGACCGACTCTGTTCGGCAAGGACTCATCGTCGCAGCAGGAGCAGGCAGCTGAGGTCGTGGCCCAGACTGGTGCAGACAATTGGTTGGCGTCCACTTTGCTGAGCTATGGGGTGGACTACTGGCAGATGGGCGCTCTGTGCCTGGTGGCGAATTGCTTGTGCATGGGCATTTACACCAATCTGCAGATCCCGGCCCTGAAGAGATTTCCAGCTCCGGTGTCTCTGTCGGCTTCTTCGATCTTCGTCGGGGCCATGTTCTTGCTGATCACGGGTCTGTCGAGCGTTTCGCAAGCGTCTGAGTGGATTCTGCACTCTCCCGGGACGATCATATCTGTGGTGTACGCTGGTGCCGTGGCTTCGGGACTGAACTTCTCTCTGCAGACGTGGGCAAATCAGCGCGGAGGCCCTGTGCTAGTGGCGGCGTACATTCCTCTGCAGACTGTGTTCTCTGCATTTCTGGGAGTGGTGATTCTGGATGATCCTCTGTACCTAGGCAGCGTGATTGGAGCTGTGCTGATTCTGATGGGTCTGTATTTGGTAATCTGGGGCCAGCGGCTGCACAGGCTAGCGAAAGAGAGAGACTGTCTTGCAATGCCATTTGAGGGAGTGGAGGATGATATCAAGGTACCTCTCCTCCAAAATCAGGCAGAGGAGAGCACATACGGCACCATCCAAAGATGAGATGGACATCTTTGAACCCCGGAGGTGGGGTATTCAACATATGACACTGCCTATACATAGAATAGAAGTTGACGACGAATCTGACGAAGAAAAGCATTCGTCTCGGGGGATTCTTATTTGACGGTAGGAACATTAGTACAACGGCACAACTTCAGGAAATATTGTATATAGGATTCAGTTCTCCACGTATTGTGGACATGTAAAATAATAATCTGTGACTGTTGATGGCCGGCAGTCTTCTCTTCTACAGACCAACTCTAACCATATCTTCACTGCATGCCGTGTATCACATCTTCACCTGTTGTTGAGCGCTGTTACAACTTGCTTGCGGAATCGTTTTGGTGCATGAGAGGGTGCACTTATGCTGCACATATGCACTTATGAATATCCGGACGAGGTCAGTGCTCGGACCACCCTTCTGGATCGTCCGAGTTCCACACTATCTAGGCTTCGCTTCCTGCTTATCCTTCAGGACAGTCCAGAATTTGTGCATCTCAATCTACTGGTGCACAATTCTTCATAACGCAGACAAGGAAGCGTCTTCAAAGATGGAAATCTGCTGGGAACCGAACTTCGCACGAGCCTTCATGATATCGATTCATTGTTCAACCCGCAAGCGTGGTCCTATTTCTTTCGTCGACCTGGATGTGGACTAATGGAAGTAGGAGAACCCAAATTTCTTGTAAAGGCAGAAACACCCGTTTTCCTCCATCTGTCTTCGTTAACTTTTCTGAGTCCGATGTACTCTGGGAGTTCGGACCGTCAATGTCTTACCACCTGATAAGTGGACAAGCTCGTGCGGGAAGTCTCCAACTTACAAGTTTTAGCACGTGATAACTTGACAAGCTGTCATTTTACCCAAGACATGTTAACTTCGGGCTGTACGTTTGATTGCCGGACCAAGCAGTCCAAGTAATTCAAGCAGTCCAAGTAATTGCATGTAACGGTTATACTTGCAAAACATATTTGAAGATACATACCATAACTTAAACCTTGGAATGGAACTGTTGAAGCTTTATAGATCTTCACTTGTTGCATGTCATACATTTAGCATTCAGGTATATATATGGCTAAGCACGACAGGGCAGCAGCATACAAAATCGTTCCAGCTTTTGAACAAGAGAATGTAGAGCATGAGAACCATTGCACGTGATGCTTTACATAGAAATTGAAGAAAAAAAAACCTCTTCTTACTTACAACGTCAGTTATTAAATTTACATGAGCCAGCTTTGTCAAACTGAGCTGCGCAGACAAAATAATTTCTCAAATTTCCAGACAAGTAACGGGCTTATGCCATACTACGCTTCACAATTCTTCCTAAGCCTACTTCATCATACTGTACAATTTGACAGTTCAAACGCTAGAGCTCAATTAAACCTCATAGAAGAGGTGTTTAAGATCCCAAAATGGACGAGGATACCGCACTCCATTCAAATGCGACACCGGCATAGTCAATTGTGAATATCTTCATATTCAATATTATAAAATTGCCCCAACTGCAACCTTGGATAGCTTTTCTCGCCCATGCGGCTGCGTCAAAGCCGGTGATTCTGAACTCTTCGGAATAACAGGGCAAATGCTTCCTGGATTCAAAGGAAAGAGAATCCTGTAATAACCGTCCATAATTGCAGGCATATCACAAGTGGACTCCACTCCTGGAATCTGGTAAGTGAACAAAACAGGAATGACGTTAAGCTTTTGAGAGTTGCGCAACACAGATTGGAGAAAATATTGCAATACATTTCCAAGTGTACCGTTGTGATCGTAACCTAATTCACGGACAGTCGTCTTCTCAAATCATCATACTCTGCTGTATCAGGGCTAGGTACTTACAGACAAACATCATAACCACCCATGTCACAGTGATCGATTGGAAAGTACCTGATAGATATCTCGCAAATAGCCATAAAGGTTGGGAAACTCGAACAGTTTCTGCTTCGAACACTTGAAAAGAATGCTGTAAACGGAGTCAAATCGGTACAAAGTTGTGAACAGTCGTATGTCAGCCAAGGTCAGAGAATCTCCGCAAAGATAACGAGATGCAGCCAGATGCTCCTCCAGCATGTTCAAAGTCTTGAACAGGCCTTCTACTGCTGCTTCATACGCTTCCTGTCCCTGCGCAAAACCACACCTGCACACAAGGCACTTTCAGACCAAAGTATACACAACCTGAAGACATGGAAACTGCGACTGTGCCACGAGGATCCATTTACACCGAGAAATTTCAGACAAATGACGAGTCAGAAAGTAGTGAAACATCAGGGGCTTTACACGGAGCGCCGCCAATTCACCAGTAGAAGAAGGAAGCTAGCTTTCGACAATGAAATTGCACAGAGTCGATTCTCGATGACAGAATGCAACTGAGCTTCTGAATGATAGTGAAGCGTTTCGGTCGACTGACAACCAATGGAAGTTGAATGGACGACAACTCTTTTCAGGAGCAGGTAGAGAGAAGAAGTTTGCAAGCACTACCCTGCACGCACCTGTATACACCGTTATTGACGTCATGGTAGATCAAGGAGTTCCACCTATCAATCTCCGCTTTCAACAATGAAGGAGCTAGATCCAGACCCGGGTTCTTTGCCAATTCGTTGAAGTCCGAATTTAAGATCTCAATAATATCGGCGCTCTCGTTATTGAGAACCTCCATCGAACCTTGATCCCACAGCATGGGCACTGTGGCCCTCCCACTGTAACCCTCCTTTCGCATTTTATAAGCGTCCATTAGACGACTCTGTCCATTAGCCCTATCCTTGGTTCCAACAAACTTGCCAGCAGCAGCTCCTGCAGCATTTGCTCTTCCTGACGAAAACTCCCACAATCCATTCAATCCCGGCACAACGACAGACAGGGGAACGGCCTCATCTAGACCTTTCAAAGTATGTACGATCAATGCCCTGTGAGCCCAGGGACAAGTTGTGGCCACATAGAGATGAAAATTGCCAGGAATCACAGGCGCCCCAGGCACGGGTCTGCCACGAAACTGGCTCTGTGGGCGATCGTATGCACCTTTCTCCCCGCTGGGAGCGAGCTGCCCCATCATAACCTGCCATCCTGTGCCCCAAAGCTGCCTTGCAACGTCCACCAGCGCACCTGGAGGTAACCCCCTGCCCCACAACGCCTTGCCCACTTGCTTCACCCAATCCTGCTGCTGCTCTGCTCTGCACGTGGACAATTGCCCCTTCCTCTCGATCCCTCGCGTGGATTCTGGCCACCTGAAACCCGCAGCATTCGACAATCTCCCAGAACATGGACACCCAAACAAGCCGCTCCGGAAACCACTGCTGCCGCAGGCCAAAGCGGTTGCGCTTGTCGCCATGGCTGCTCGACTCAGAGGCGGACCAGAATGCACACCACGAACAATGTCCGCAGTTCCCGATTCACGCGACAAATCTCGCCTCCTCGTCCTGCTCGCTCCGACCTTGCAGCACTTCGGGACGCCACATCACGCCGAGGGCCAAATTGTGGATCACATCAGCAGCACCCGCAACGAGGCCGATGCCACCTCGCGCTCGGAGTCAGGGCTCCTGCCCATTCGCCTCTCGACGTCATGGCATGCAGTACAAATCCGAGCTCTTTCTTGCCACCAGTGGGCCCGCCCTCCCAGCAGCCACACGGGAATCCAAACCTTCCTCAAACCTCGACGCCATCGTTCCTCTCGTCCGGACCTTTAGGGTCTCATCTTTTCCATATCCAATTTCCACCAGAATCCAATCATGCACAAAACTTGCGCTCTACTCTTGGCCTCGTATCAATAATCAAGTCCAAGCAAGAGTATCACAATTCTCCCTTTAGGTTAGGTTAGTAAGATTATTTTGCAGCCTATTTTAGGCAGTGCGGACTTTAATGCTATCCATTAAGATGGTCTGTGTGGCATAGTGAATATTATTATTGGGGGAGCCTCGAGCTCCGAATACGGCTCGATGGCATATTCCCATCCCTTGGGCTGGATTTCTTCCTCGCCGCTGCCATTCGACGTCCGGAGACGTTGGAGCTCGAGGAGATGCGCGGCTCCCGTTCCGTTCCCGAGGAGCTTCGCCCGTGTCGAAGTGGCGCGGGTCGTGTTCTTGTCGGACTCCTGTCGAACTCGGTGAGTCCGCCTGCTACTGTGGTAGCAGGCGCGGTTCCGTTCGGTTGCGGTGGGCGGGGGATGCTGCTGGACTTGGATCTCAGCCGAATGTCCGACGAAGATGCCCTCGTGGTCGACCCATAGACAGGGCACCCGTTTCTTTGGGGCCGGGTCGGGACTCGGGACTCGGGAATGGGTCTTACCAAACCTTCTCGTGAACGGAAAGCTTGGCCCGGGTCTGGAGTCCGATTGCTTTCGAGCCCGGCGCAGGATTTCACCGACGAGGGAAGGCGTGGGTCGAATTTTTCGGTGCAAGCTCGCCTCTGTGCCTGCGCTCGGCTCGGCCTGTTCCGGCTGATGTCCATCTTCACGTATTTCGGGTGAACGCAGTCTCTAGCTCATTGGATCCGGGGTGGCCTCGACGCGTGTTTTGGATCGCGAGAATCCGGCGGAAGTCATCGTTCAAGGAAGAAAATCGAGAGCTGATAGATTGGTCGGATGAGTGTGCGTAGATTGAATGTCGTGAGTTTTTCGTGCGTACGTGGGGAAATCCGGGCAATTTGGGAGGATAGTGCAAGTGGAAACGTGGATGCGCTGAAATGATTTGATTGTTCGACGAAAAAACGGAGTTTATTTAGTTCATGGGCGCGAAGTGTTCAGACGTTGAGCTGTGCATGAGAAGCTGACGTTCTGAGGAATCACGAGGAGCAAATTCGGACAAGAGTTGTTACTTTTGCGAGCTGCCGAGAGCTGCAGTGCAGAGAAGTGGATTATTTAAGAATGAATGAGGTTTGAATGAAGCTGGTAGTGGGTTCGAGCAATCACTCGTGCGGATTTTTCTAATGTGCTGCGAAGTTTATTAGATTACATTCAGGACCCAGTTGGGGTTCAAGTTTGAATGATCGAAAGGGAAGGAGATTGAGACAGAGGAGAAGGGCTGAAGGTCGGGAGGAAATCTTGAATTCGGCGGGTCAGCTGCCCTCTGTTTTAATGCGGAAAGCTTCTGCATTCCGCAGATCATGGTCGTATCATCTGTATAGGGCTTCTGTGCGTGAAAGCACTGGATTGCTCGTGCGAAGCCCGCAATTGAGCTTGTTTCATACGGAATCGTCTCCGTCTTCCACAGCAAAGAATTATGATCGAGTCAACTCCAACGATCATCGTCCACCAAAATCCCTGATTGTCCGAGTAGACGACAGTCAAGCTACTGTGCCTTCAATCTTTGGATGCAAAAGCTACGTATCTGCAACCGGAGTATCCAAACCGCCTGAATCAACAACAACCGCGGGGAGCTTGGATGTCTTCTTGCCAAAAACCATTCCGAGATTGCTGCGCCAAGATATCTACAGGCCAGCCTTTATCAGTGGAGCTCACGAAAGGGCTTCGTGTACCACTGGAGGTCTTGCTTCGGCTGGAAATGACGCTGAGAACTGTGCCAAGAAATTCGATTGTGGACAGGAATCTTACCTGGATGCCAAGTTTCAAGATACCTGGTCATTTTATCTGAAACAGGGGCCTTATGGAAGAAATTGTGGCGAGGAATTCCACCAAGAGTTACAAACTCAAATACGAAAGGTGCAGGGCTTTCTTGCGGATTTTGAAGACAGCGATTCTCGTAACCCAGTCCAACGAGAGAAAGGATACCCTAAAACTGGCGCTGTATATTGGAATTGGAACGGTGCTCCCCTGGGTTTGGGATTATCATCGTCTTTGACGTTCCCGGGCATATCTGGGAGGTTCCCTCGGCGAGCCAGCATCTGCACTGCTCCTTCGCCATCCCAACGCAGATGTATGGTCTCAAGCTCTCTATGATCAATCATTGTTGTCTTCGTGATAGATGCAAGTCGAATGCCGTCACGCTTAGTCCGAAAATTCTGTTGTAGCTATCATGAAAGGCTATCGCAGATAACCTGCGGCTGCTCAAGAAAGATAACAGCCAAGTGAGAAGTGAAATGTTGTACATTGATATACGGATGCAATTGGAAAGTGTGGTTTTATGGAAACAGGGAATGGGTTTCTCTGTGTTTGGGCTGACCTGTAGGCAGGGAACAGGGTAACTTGCGTATGTATGTCAGTCCACGCTCACTATTTTGTTTGTTTATAGCGTTCAGCTCAGGAGTTGCTCCACCAACTAAAAGCGAGACGACTGCTGAACCCCTGGCCCGTGATTACAGGTGTGTAAATTCTTCATTACAAACGCTGGTTTTGCAGAAAACAGAATTCCATGGACAATGTGAGCCTCAGGAGTCCCGAGAACTACAGGACACATTCAGTACACTCATGCATCTTTTATTTATACATTAACATTTGTTCTTTCGAAGCAAAATGTTGGGGTTTTGGATATAACTTTTGCGCAATTACTGATAATATTATACTACCATCTAGATTATGTCTGTGGATACATATCAACTTGTCATCGAGTAAGCTGCAGATCCTCTATGAGAATTACGACTTCGGGGTTCGATACTGCCTGAATCTGACCATCGATATGTTGATGAAACAGCCAGAGGGCCGTGGTTACCGCATTGTGGTGTAATTTCCTTGTATTCTGCTTGAAGCTGGGGGTTTGGATGATGACCTCCAGTCATGTTATGCTGGCTGAAGCCATTCACTCGTTGGCAGATTTGGCAAATCAAGTAAGACCTGTATACGTTGATATTCCTGTTGTGTATTTTATTTTTCTGAATAAGATATTCTTCAGTTGAGAGAAACAGCCATAAAATCTTCTATCGCAATATTTGATTTCACCGACAAAGATTTTTGGTGTACACGCAGGGTCTTCTGGCATATGGTCTAATGAGTTCAAAACGGGCTCCAGATGCAATGCACCCGTAAGCTTCTACCTTCATCCGAGCATGATAAAAGTGAAAAACTTCTGTTTCGTTTGTTTTCCTCCCTTTCTTTGAATGTGACCGTTAACCATGCGAAACAGCTGCATATATGAATGCCTTCAATTATAAATTTAATAGTGATGGAATACTTACAGGTATGGCTATACAAAGGAGCGATTTGTTTGGTCTTTGATCTCAGCGGTCGGCATCTTTTGTCTTGGTTCCGGTGCCACCATCATTCATGGAGTGCAAAATCTCTTCAGTGCACAGGTCTCTTGCGATTGCTTGCTCTGATATTTGTTTTACTGAAGATTTGGAGGTTTGAATAACTTGCATGTGAAAACGTGTGAAGAAAGGTGGTGAGGGTCATTCCTTAAATCAAGCCCACCAAGGTTTGCTATGCTCATATTAGAGCTACTTTGCTTGTACAAGAGTATTCACACTGTTTTTTGTTTGCACAGCCTCTGGAGAATGTCTATTTGGCAGCGCTGGTCATAGGTGGATCAATGATCATGGAAGGTAAGAAACATCGCAGAATGTATGAGCGAAGCTTTCAGTGATGACTTCCGGATTGTATTTTGATCTACTTCTGGAAAAAGTGTTATGTGTTTTGACTTCCTAGCCAATTTTCTTTCCACCAAATTACGATGATTACTTTGCTTTTTGTATTGTATTCAGGGGCATCTCTTCTGGTAGCCATCAGTTGTGTTCGGAACGGGGCAAAAGCTGAAGGCATGACCATGCGAGACTACCTCTGGCGTGGTCATGATCCTACGTCGGTTGCCGTAATGATGGAGGTACTTTCTTATGAAAGTTGACAAAAGGGTTGACCTTTTACTCCGCAAGTTCTTTTTTATCCTTGATCAATCCGCCTGTTTTGTTCAATGTTGATTCTGACTTTTAAACGTTCAAGCTTTGAGCATCAATCTATTTCTATGTTTGCGCTCAAGTTATTCTGGCATCTAAGACGACAGTATAAATTGCAAAAATTTTCTTCACCTTTAAAAAGGATACTACCTGAGGATATCATAGCATAGACTGTATGCAGCGTGTTTTCGACTCAGGTGTAATCTGCGTGTTTAAGCAGGGTTCGTTCAGTTATCATACACGATCACTTGGATATCAATACTGTGTCTTCAGTTGGTCTTTGTAGTCGCCTGATCGGTTGTTCAAGCGACCACGAAGATCACGCATTTTCTCACATGTGTAAGGGTTCTGTGCAGGATGGTGCAGCCGTTACAGGTCTTGGAATTGCGGCTTGTGCTTTGGCAGCTGCTCATTATACAGGAAATCCGATGTGGGATCCTATAGGCTCAATCGTAGTTGGCAATCTGCTTGGCGGGGTACGTGCAGCTACAGCCGAGAACTCTATTATGCTGCTCTCACAGGGGCCTTTGTTATTAACTAATGTGTGACTTCACCTTGACTTTGCTGTGTGAATGTATATTAGTCCATGATATCAGTCTTGTGCACGAGGTAGTTCCTGCAGTTGTCTTCCTCCTCATCCGCGTTTGTCTTTATCTGACAGGTAGCCATATTTCTCATACAACGCAATCGACATGCTCTGCTTGGACGATCTATGGACGATAAAGACATGATGCGTGTGATTACTTTACTCTCAAAGGATCCGGTGCGCGAAGCTTTCCCGTTATTTCCCACAAAGCTCATTATGTCTTACAAGATTCGAACTTCGTACATTATGTGGTGAGCTTTGAGTGTGTTTTCTTTGCTGAGGTGAGTTGTCTTTTGGCGCAGGTAGTGGATGCTATTTATGACTGCAAAAGCGAGGTGATTGGTCCTGGTGCATATCGGTTCAAGGCCGAGATTGGTAAGCGGTAACCTTTTTTCCTTTCCTATTTTTTTTAAATTATAGGAATGATGTTATGTTGTCTTCAAAATTTATATGAGAAGTAATTTTTAAAGTTTTCTGAAGGACAGATTCTCATCTAGCAGAGTCGACGAAGATTGTTACTCCCCCTTGTGAGCCGTTTATACACATGTGTTCATTACTGTGTCCTACTTACACTCGGCTTCCTTCTATACAGATTTTAATGGTGTAGTTATTGTGCAAAATTATCTGAAGAAAGCTGGACGTGGGAACTGGCATAAAGAGGTATGATGCGCACAACTTGACTGAAGTTTGCTTGTTTAACTCATCAAGTTCCTAGTATTTTCTCTCACGACTCTATCTTAAGTATAACTCGTCACCTCGCCCTGCGCAGTTTCACGAAGCAGTGAGTGGCACAGAGCCAGGTCACTTGGACCGAGTTATGGCTGCTTATGGTAAGGAATATAGTTCGGTCAATTTGATATTACTTACCTTTTTCTGCAGGCTTTCTGCGACTGCTCCGCTTCTTTTTTAAAAAAAATTGGACGAGTGACATAGATGTTGAAGCTTGAACACCTCCCAATTTGTTTGTGTTGTATACTAAAAGCCACACTGACACTTTCTGACCTAAGTGTAGCGTAATTCAATATGCCATCTGATAGACTTACAGAAAACGCTCCCACGGTGGAGAGAGCAGGCAGAAACTTAAGAAGTCTATTTTTTTAAGGCTTTTCTGACCATTACTTGTGCTTGTGGGTTGCAGGAGAGGAGATCGTATCAGCTCTCGGTAGCGAGGTGGATAGATTGGAGAAAGAAATCCAGAAGATTGTTCCTGGAATACGCCATGTTGACATTGAGGCCCACAACCCACAAGGTCCAGCCCCTCGAGAAAAGCTCTACATATACTGATATCAATACGGTGTGGTGTACAAATACAGACCCATTTGTGGGTCCCTCAAAGAAGAACACGAATATAGAACTTGCTCATTACAAGCATGCCTTGGGCTATTTGTCCGTTTTCAAAGTACCACAATTTTAGTCTTCACGAAGTCAGTTATTTGTTCTCAGCTAACACAAATTTACCGTTTAAGTTCGAAGAAAATGTTCGTTCAAGTTCTGAAGGCTATTAAACGTGTCCAATCACCAAAAAAGAATACTACAATCTCAAAATTTATCGATCGCGTTCTGAACCTAAATTACCATCCTAACCTTGTAATATCAAACCGAGTTTATCCTACTAATGTTACTAACCAATTTCAGTACTAATGTCTATTCTCTTGATAACAGAAATAGTTACACCGTATCAAATAGACGAAAAAATCTGATTGGTACCTTCAAGAAGGCTGGTTCCTGAACGCGCTTTGTACTGCACTTGTCTTGTGCGAAATGGGTTTGCCAGCGAAGTCTCAGTTGACAGCTCTACACTGTTAGAGATAAAGTGAGTTTAAGTATGGCATGTCTAAGCCACTCCCGTAATGACGAAGCTGGGGTGCTCTCAGAAAGAAGACGGATCCTCAGCTGGCTTTGAGATGTTTGCTAAAAGACCTTGACGAAGGCACACGACAACAGTATACTGGGGTCACTTATTCTATCAAAGTACACCCTTGGACGCCAAACTGATGACTCAAAGCTTTGTTGCAAGCTTCCATTCAACCCCATATAAAAGGAGGGACAGGATCAAGGCCTAGAAGCTCGGCAAAAACCTTCAAGCCAACTCCAGTTCAGCTCTCATCCACTCTCATGGACAAAAGCCTTCGCGGCTCAAAGTTTGAGGTACAACATCGAAGACCACTAGCATTTCTAAATTTTGATGCTACTTGTCCGTAGCCTGTTATAGAATACTTGGATCCAACTTAAAGCGTGAGAATGCATGAATTGTTTATCAATGTCATACATCACCATAGATGCTCGAAATGAGTACGAAATTTCCAATGATAAACTTCACCCTTTGACACATGGACTTTCACAACTGCAAGATGAATTTTGGTACTCAAGTGATCAGAGATATGTTTAATGTTATTAACTAGTTCTATTCTCTGGTATTCTAGTAAGGAGTGTATTATCGTTTAAAGAGGTGAGTAGATATGAAAACAATGTATAACTAAAATACAATAAAATTTGCAATAGCAATTTTATTTAATATATGTAGTCGAGCGACAGTAAACACTCGGGATTCATCCCTTCGAAGGGATTATGTTCACACACTTCACTTTAATTCAAGATACTCACACAAGAGTTACCTCATGTAAAGGCAAAAACCATATATATATAACCAAAGTCTAGTGGAACGTACTAGGTAAATATAGCTAGTACTTGAAGTTACTTTTTAACTGGATTTAACTCTTAAACCCTTAACTCATGAAGGAGTTAAGGAAACAGTGACCTTTGTTAACTTACATTATTATTTTACGATAAATTCTTGATAGAAATTTAACACAAGATCATTTTTTTACACGAGAGTTAACTAGAAATATGTTATAGTTATAACAGAATAAAATAATAACATAAAGAATTATCAAATTGAAAGACACACATCTACTAACAAAAACCTTACAATCTATATCACCTCTGACTAATTGTCATTCGTGACATCCCTCACTATCATCCGCCATTTATTGTGTCCGCGATCGTTGCCCGCAACATACGTCACATGTGATTTACTACGTCCGCGATCACTCCACGCAATTAAGGGTCATCTGCAACCATCCGTCGTACGCAACCGTTGCCCACAACTTACTGTCGTCCGCAACAAATGTTGTGTGCAATCGTCACCCGCAACTGGTGTCATTGTCAACAGTAACCGTCGACTATGAACCATCATAGTCACTGTCAATTATAGACCGTCACCGTCAAGCGTCTGTCGACCGCGGTTGATTTGCTGAGTGCAATTTCTTGCATATCATGGTTTGTTCAGCCGGATGTGATTACTCCATCTACCGTGGTTGCTTCGTCAACCACAATTTGCTTGCTTACCGCAGTGCGCCTTACCGACCATGGATGCGCTACTTACTTTGATTTAAGTTTCTGGTTTAGCAATCACAGTTACCGAGTTACTTACCATTGCTTCGCACCTGTGGTTGGCCCAATCGGCTATTTTCACTCAGCTGACCGCATTCAATCCAACAAAGAGTAGCTTGCACTGTTTGGTACTTCAATGCCTTCCGTTGTCACTGGTAGGCCCCTGCTCTGGCCAATGTTGAGAACTCTGGCCGCACGGATGGCGCAAAGCGCAGGTATGAACAGAATCTACTTCGGCCACTCCGGCCACCGCTTGGGGAGTTCGGTGCGGTCACGCGGCGGGCAGAGGTGCTACATCATGCATGATATAAATGTACCCGAGAAAATTCGTTCGCAAAATCAGAATCACCTAACTACACTAGCCTTGATTTGCCTTCACATGAGACCTACTTTCAATGCTTGTCGCCTCAATCGAACGTCACAAATTTTGAACGTCGTGTCGAAGTTTGACTCTGATCACGTTCGATCTCCGCAACATTTGAATGAAGTGTCGAACATGATCAGAGTATGAACGCGGTCAACCGTAATCTGTGAAGATCGGATGTTAGACATGTGTACTAAGTTGTAGAAGTAGCCAAGTGATTAATGATGATTAGTCAAGACATATCTAAGTTTAGCTAGTTATAAATGAACTAGTTAGTTATAACTAGATTTATCTAGTCATGACTAAGTTTAACTATTATGTCTATATCAGAATAATTAGCAGAGTTCTATACAATTAGAGTGAACATTTTTATTTTGTATTTTACAAAGTTCTAGATTCTAAGGTATTAGACTTTTGACTATAAGCTTAGATTTGATTGGTTTAACTAAATGTATAAAAGATGATTGACGAGACTAAATCTACTATTGACCTAGTGGCTATGAAACTTTTAGAAGTTTTAAAGCTTTCAATATCATGTCGCCACCTCAACCTCGGATTCCGGAAACTTCTAGAATGTTTTAGATAGGTCAATGGCATGTTGCCACGTATAGTGGGTTAGTCAAACCTATCTAGGGAAAAGTGAGTTAAGGGAAATTACCACATGTTATTATGGTAATTTCTCAAGTAGTATAAATAAAGAGGTAGAGTATAAACTCTTAAACAAATTTGAAAGGTTCATGTGTGAGTAGTTGTTTCATGAATGAAAGAGTGAGGTTTTTCAGTATCTTGAAATATCTACGTGTATTTGAATTTATGTGAATAGAGTGATGTAAGGAAAGTTTATGTGAATTGAATAATGTACGGAGAGTTTGTGTGAGAGAGTGTTTGGACACAAGTATGAGTGAGAATCCTAGTCTTTTAAAACAATGATGAGCTATCACAAAGTCATCTCAGGTAAATCAGAGTGAGAGTCAGCCCGGAGCTTGCAGATCGGCATGGAAACGCAATCAATGGGCATTTGATGGCGGCGGCCGACCGATGGTGATAGTCAATGGAAAATCAATTGTCAAGAGCAACAGTGACGGTCGGAAACGACGGTAACGGAATATGTTTTTTGTAAATATTCCGTGCAAGAGAATCTTTATCAAACTATAGGCAAATTGGGTATTGTTAGAAAACTCTTGATGTTACTAAAGCATCTAGATCATTTTCAAGAGCTTAAAGATGACCTAGACAAAAAAAAATTGCTCTTGAAGTTACTTTTGTATCTAAATTTTTGACGGTGTGAGATGCAAAGGAATGATTTAAAGGATCTGGGAAGACGACATTCATGCTTTGGAAAAGTAGTGTTACAGGCTTTGGATCTAGTAGCATGTGAGATTTTTTGTTAGTACGAATGTTTCTTTCAATGAGACCTTGCTTATTGAAAGAGTTGGAGAGTTTCTTGGCTTTTTGGAGTGACAAGAGAAAAATATTTATTCACGGATTTGGAGATTGGGGAGTTTGAACATTATGTGATTAATGATCAAGAAAGAGCACCGATAGTGGTGAAAATTCTGAGCACATGATTCAGACAGTCAATATAAACTTTAAACTTTTGTGATTGAACTAGTACAGATTCACGGTAAATTCTGGTGATTGAAATAGTAAAGATTGAAGTTAAACTCAATGCAATTGATACGTTGATCAAAGTTGATAATTTTGGAGATTCAAGCAACATTGTGCTACTATGCAGGTTTTGCATAGAGAGCACAAATAGATTGTTGAGTTACCTGTGTATCTTATTATGGCTATGGCCATAATAAGATACACGACGTTCTTTGTGTTAGCTTGATAATGATATAAATAATGATATAGGTTGGAGAGTTTATTGAGATTCTTTAACACGAATTAAATAAAAATTTAAAGAGTTACCTTGTGTTAGGTTTCAGTCTAAAATTTTTCACAGAATAATATTATAGATTAGAGAATTTACTCAGATCCTTTAACACAAGTTGAGTTTAACTTCGATTAAATAGTAATCTCACTTTTAGTTATTTATAGTTAAGATTGGATGTAATTGTTGGATATATATACCCAGGGTATATACCCAAGATATATATACTATCACTATGCTATTCTCACCGTGAACGTAATCTTCAAAGTTGAACCACATTATACACTGATCTCTTGTGTTGATTATTTTGTTTCTTGATTGTGCCATTAATGATTCTTGTGTTTATGTTTTCACTTCATACAATATTCGGTCAATCTTATATATCAATAGAAATTTATTCATTTGATAGAAAAAAATTGCAATAATTTTTTAAAATAATCTTACTTATTATCTTTTATACCATATAATTTAATAAATAATTTAATAATTTTTTTTCATTGTCATATCTTATACAATTTTATTTATTTTTAATCAATAAATTTTGATTTCTCAAAACTTAAAATATCATTCATTCTATAGTAAATTGTGCCACATAATTTATTATAATACAAAAAATATATGTAATCTAGATGAAAATTTCTGAAAAAATATTAATTTAAATGATTCTAATATACATAATTTTAATTCAAACAATTATTTCAAAGTTATAACAAAACATTCAACATAAAACATAAGATGTGATTTTTAATTAATATAATAATAATAAAATAGAAATATAGAAATTATAATAAATCTATTAGCTATCTGACATAAACATACTATTACTATACATTTTAGCATGGCACATTCATGAAATAGTATATCCATGCGAATTATGGTTACATCAAGCAAAAGAAACTGAATGTTCCAATGACTCATGATCGAACTATCACTCCAGTACACTGCTGTAACCTGAAAAAGAATACAGCACAAGAGATGGCAATTGCACACGAGAAAAGATGCATCGCAGCTATTCGTCGTGCGGGTCCGAAGGACTTTGATCAATCTACAGGAGGCTTTACGGTACACGATACTTTGTCGCGAATATTCTGATCAAAGTGAACTTTCATTCGATAGGCTGCAACAAGTCTTCCCGGACTTCCATGTCCCAGAGTCTGCTGGTTTTATCAGACTCCTGCTCGCGGAAAGTCTGATTGTGGGTCCAGATTGCAACCTCGCTCCTTCCTGCATCCCAGTCTTCGTTGATGTTTGGAGGCACTCCGGAATTGCGCCCGTCTTCACAGTGAAGACGATCGAGAAGGGGCATCTAATCGCAAGTACTTACTGCAGAATTGCTCGTCTTCCTCGTCGTCATCATCAGCTGCTGCTGCTGCTCCCGTCCATTCAGAAGCGAAGATCAACTTGGCATCATACTCGCTGACGAAGGTTGGAGTTTGCAACCTGAAGTGGAGGATAAGCAGAGTACCAGCGTCTTCAACCCCTATGCAGGTGCACGAGCTGAAATCGTTCGATGTTCACCGTTGTAGTGCCTGGTTTGCTCGCCAGGTACTCCTGCTGGGTGAAACGGGCAAATCTCAGTTAAGATCTCGTGCTCGTTCTCTTCTGTGAGTCTTAGATAAGAACCCATCATCATCAACACCACGAGATAGGTAACTTGGCTTGAAGAATCATAGACTGCTGTTTTGCCTTCAGCTCACGCTTCCTCTGTAAAATGCTCTGCGTTCTAAATCTCATCTAGATTTCATTACCGTAAATGGACTCCGAATAAACCTTGAGTATAGCACAAACTGAGTAGAAAGTGTATCAACTTGGTGCTTTGTTCGTTTTGGTGGCAAAGATCTCTTGGGGAACACAGCTCAGTGATACAATCTGATCCTCAACTCCGAAAAGCGAAGACTGAAGATGAGTCAAGTTGCCGATGAAGGTAGTTACTGTCGTTTTGACCCCTTCATCTCAGAGGCTCATAATTTTGTTGATATGTCTTTCGGCTCTTCCTTGGGAGATAGAACAGTTTGCCCAAACAGACCTGGATCAATGCATCCCAAACCCCGTGGCACATGATGATAGCAAATCTCAATATACAAACTTCACTGGTTTTCGTGATGAGGACTCTGGTTGCCTTTCATGAGCAAGTGCTTGATGGGAGGCAATGGCTGTCACCATGAAAAGAGAAAATAAGTTTTTCCACGTTTACCGTCATGAATGGTCAGCATCGTGGCAGAAAGTTGCAGTTTGTACACTTCTTTTCTGGTCGTCTGAAAGTTGTGTCTTACAAAAGATTTGTCTCTTTAACTCTTCTTTACAGTTTACTAAAGTCCAATTCAAGTGAACCCAACTCAACTGAAGCAACCAGTTTACAGTAGACACAGTCGGTTAATTTTGAGCTGCCGAGGTCCTGCAGGCTTCGTGATCTTCTTCAAGCGAGGCCTGTGAATTGCTCCTGATTTAAAGAAATTATTTGCGGAAGAAATATGAAGGATGTGTAGTATCACTCTATTACACTGAATTGCTTGCCAAATCTAAAGTAAGGTGGAAGTAAATGACTTCTCATTTCAGGCATTATGACCATCCAAGTTCACGGGCCAGTTGGACTCACCTCTACTGGACGGGTCTTGATCACTTTGTTCGAAAAAGAAGTTGAACATTTTGAAGTTGTCAATGTTGACATGATGAACTTGGAGCACAAGACGCCAGAGTACTTAAAGAGCCAGGTTTGAGCACTTGTCCATTACTCTGCATAAATTCTCTCAGTGACGATTTCCTTAAGTATCTGACGCCTTTTGGCGATATATATACAACAAACAAAAAATATAGTTCAGAATAACACCGAATTTATTTGGTAAGTCGAGATGTATATAAATGACCAGACTTATCTCTGATCATCCCAGTTTCAAATCTACTAACTTTTCCTTGCTTCTCGCTGGCCCTTGGCAGCCATTTGGTCAAATCCCATTTATCGTGGATGGAGATCTAACTCTGTACGGTAATTATTCTTGACCATCATCCATGCCAGTGAAATATGCCTACTTTCATATGATGGGATATCGGTGTTATCATACAGCTGCTTGTCAAAATCATCACATAAATTTCATCACACCTAAATTTCACATATATTTGTACTTTGTTTTCTCCCAATTGGGACCAAATACAACGTACCACGCATGCAGAAACCCGAGCCATTGCAAGGTACATCGAGCACAAGTTTGGGGACCAAGGCACTCCCTTGTATGGCCAAACCCCAGAGGATCATGCTTTGACGGAGCAGTGGCTAGAGGTGGAGTCCCATCATTACATGGGACCAGTTCACGACGTCGTGTACAATGTGTGTTTTGCGCATCTGTGGGGCAAAAAATGTGACGATGTCGTCGTGGCGGCTGGGATGGCCAAGCTGGAGGCAGTTTTGGATGTCTACGAGGACCGACTGTCAGCGACTGAGTATCTGGCTGGCAGTTTTTTTGGCCTCGCTGACATGTCTCACATCCCGTTCACATACTTCATGATCCATTTGGCACATAAGGGTCACATTTTCTTCTGTCGACCCCACGTCAATGCCTGGGTGGCTAAAATCCATTCACGTTCCTCTACATTGAAATGGCTAAACATGGCTGGCTTAGCGAAATAACATTCACTCCATGTTTTCTTGCAGTTAGGTTTGGACCACACGATTGTTATTCGACGTGACGTTTTGTTTCATTTAGGGCTTGTACACGCAGTACAATCGAATGCTCTAACGTCCGTCGAAAACATCTCAAATAGGAAAATATTCATTTTCCAAAATCTCATATTCTACGTTTATCAAATATATACAAGGTGGATCATCAACCATTTAATATTATTCGGACTTTGTGATAAGAATATTATTTTTCGTATAAATCCTGTGAAGAGTAATTTCTCATATCAATTTTCCCTGTACTATTTTGATTCTAGAAATGCCACTAATTAATTTCATGAAACTTATTTTTTCTTAAAATAAAAAAATTAATCATTGGTATCAACCTGCCTAACTAAACACTACCTATGCAGGAAGCTTTAGGTACTTTATTGAACTCCAAAATCCCTTAGGCTTGACGAAACCTCTAAAATGCAAACCCTAAACCCTACGCGCGTGTACAGTTCCATAGGTTAAGGAAATTGGTGATGATGTTGTAACACATCTATTTCTAAGAGTCAAACATAACATAAATTTAATCTCAATTATACATAGAGATAAAAAAAATCATCCCGACACAATCCTCTCAAACAATTAAAGAAAAGAGCATTGCTGACGATTTTTCTCTATGCTAATGTTTACATGGAAAAAAATTTCTTATCATTATTTTAACAAATGATTTTTTATTTAATCATATCTCTAAAAATTAAATATTGAATTAACATTCGAATACATCACATATCATGATGAAAATATAATTATATTTCATATTATTTGAATATATCATTTTTCTTTCAAGCACATGCAATAAATTTTCAACCTGTTATTTTTTCATTCCGACTTCATGATGTTATAATATCAAACCTGATAAAGTACGACATTATAACTTGACTAATATGTTTTCAGATCAACAACAGTATGAGTTATTGGTAGATGACATGTGATACCTCTTTATCATTGTTTGAAATCATAAAAAAAGTTAAATTCTTCGTAAGATATTCTTTTAGTTGTACGTTCTCGGGCAACCATAGTAAGCACAGTTGATTTAAGTGGACTAGTATGTTCAAGATTCATTAAACTCATGCAAACTTGAATCCATGATATTGTAAAAGTAGTGTACCATCGGGAAAGCTCTAGAGTTGAATGGTCTCAATGCAAGATCGAACTTAATTGATCATAAGGGACAACTTCAGTTGCATCAACAAGCAAAAGCATTTGATCACAAAAGACCAAATTGCATTCCCTTAGCCTCTTATGTAATATATTTCTTATATTAATTTCATTTACAACGAATGGACCCAAGTATTTACTTAGTTCAAAGGTGACTACTATGAAAAATGATTTGATGTTCAATGACGAGACGATCATCTCATATGGACTTGATTTGTCTTTTACTATTCAAGAAAAGCTATTTTCATCAGAAAGTTAATTTTCGAGAAAATAAATATAGCAGCTAAGAGCTTTTGTAGATGAAATTAATATTCCAGTTTTATTCCTTCAATATATTCACGTCTAACATATGTACTTAAATATATGTTATACGTGAATATATGTTTACTACGTTATTAGTACTTATTTGTACAGAGAAAACGTGAGATACTCTGGACTCACGTAATTCTTCATGCAAGGATCACTAACCCTCACAAGATATGACGGAAGCCATCCCGTCACCTTTTAAGAGCCAACAAACCCAAACGCTCCAGACAAGGAAAGTCGAGAATATCAGGGATGTCACAATCGAAGGTTAAGACCCAGATTTGGCGCGTCCATTTATCTTCTCAAGCTGCCCATATCGATACAGTGCCATTCACCAACAGACTCGATTATGTACCGTAATCGCCAATTAGAAGGTCAATTCCAAATCCATGCTCTAAGCATGCACCTGAGCAACTTGTGGAACCAACCGGAATTCGTGACTCTTGCAATAAGTTTCCTTACGGATCTCTTTCTCGTGAACTACGGGAACTGATTGCCGATCTGCCAGACGTTGTGTGAGTCGTCGTAACATGCACCAGCCAGCACTGGCGATCCTATTGGGCCTAGCCACCGGTACGCCCTATCCCGTACTGGGCGTTAATGGTTCCTACAACACACTAATCCGGATTTGAGGACTTGCCACACCCTAATCTCGCCAGATGGACGGATCAGATTGGCTCATCCACACGATTAATCTGGATTTGTTTTAGTTTCGACAAATTGCAATTTCACTATAATGACTCCGATGAACGTGTCAACACTTCCGTCCCCTGCATGCAGCTTACGTTCTGTTCTACCCCTATATAATGTCGTGAGAGCCAGCGCCATCCATCACAGCGATTAGCGATTTCGAGAACGAAACTCAATCTATTGCACACTGCCTTTAGTCTATCTATCTCGAGTCCTTTGTCGTAACAAAACTCTACAGTTTTTACTTTGCCCGCAGAATCATGTCGTCTGCTCAGAAGACCCGCTCGGACAAGAAGACTGAGTCATCGTCCGATGGGCCCATGTCTGAAGACGCGCAGATGAGGCTCAAGAAGGGAGCCACCAAGGGAGGTTCAACCCGAGGCGATGGTTCCCAAGTCGAAGTTGATGATCACGATGTGGAGAAGAAAGGAGGAATGTCAAAGGATGCGCAGGTGATTTTTTAAAATTCAGTTGACTGATTCGAAAGTTCGGCTTCTGTTGGATTCTTTGAACTCGAGATCTACGTGACAGTCCGACGAGGTCAAATGTGAATGTGTGGAAACCTCACACTGTTATCTTTTTGGTGGTTGCAGGAGAGACTCATTGAAGGGGCAAGGAAGGGAGGTCGTGCCAGAGCAGAGCAGCTCGGCCATGAAGGTTATCAGGAAATGGGCCGTAAGGGCGGCCTAGCAACGAATGACAAGTCTGGTGAGGAAGCGGCTGCTGAGAAGGGTATCAAAATTGACGAAGCCAAGTACAAGACCAAGTCCAAGCTATCGAAAGTCGCTAAGAGCAAGAAGGATGATGAAGAAGACGAAGATGAAGACGACGAAGAAGCAGCACCCTCATCTGGTGATGAGGAGTAGACTGCAGCAGCAAAACTGCTAGAGGGCGTACGGCTGCTGCCACATCTGTGCAATGTAAATGCAGCCTGGAAGAAATTCCAGGAAATGGAGTATGTGTGTGAATGCACCGTGACGTACCTGTATATAGCGACTCGTTGATGATGCTGGTGCGGTGCTAGCGATCGCCTTCCCTGTCTCTTGCAGTTTTGTGCAGTCAGTGCAGTTTAGGGAGCACACTCACGAGTGCGCATGTTGTGTCAGTGATTAGTGATCTGAAACACTGTAAGTAGAAAGCTGCAATTGAGACTGATACTACGTCGGATAGAGGTTGGGAGCGCTAGAAAGGATATTAACTGGAAAGCCTCACGTTGAGAGAGCCATCTCTCCTTACTGGTACTAGCCTAGTCATATGTCGAGGAGATGAGCGTTTACATCAACACAGGCTTATCGTACAAATATATATGTACAGATGTTTTGCCCTGTACGTTTTGTTATAATAATATTTTCACAACACTATCGGTATGAACCTGTGGCCGAAAGTTGATATTTCTTCCTATACAGTTTTTTCGTTGGAGTGTGCAATCTCTGTGCATTAGTTCAGATAGTAAACAGCACGGTAAATGGATTGCTAGTACAGCGCATTGATAATATTTATAATAATTGTTGTGACGTAAAACTGTGTCTGTCAAATCTCTCTCATACAAGTGATAGAGTAAAGATCGTAGACAAATCTGGAGTAATGATTAAAGTTACTTACTTGGCTTAAGTCAACAATATATTATACATACTATCTTGCAAACTAAAATTTTATGAAATCTCATCTGTATGCACAATACAAATCCCTCACTATTGGAAAATAGCTCTACTTTCTAATTTCTACAACTTTTTCTCCGGTCATATATTACTGCTGCAAGCAATGCATGCAATACGTAGAGCGAAGAAAATCTTTGTCAGTTATGACGGATAATATACTACATTTATACTATGCTTGAATGCAAAAATCGTAGAGGGATTTTTAACAACTAAAGTGTAGGAAAGCTTTTATACAACATTCAACTCCTGTGAAAACTGCAAAGTGTACTGAAAATTGCGGCACTATTTATTACCTTTCAAAATAAAACTGCAATGTCTAGCAGGGTTTCCTAAGGTCTGTAAGTACAACTGCAAGTGGACGAGAGAAGGAAAGCACGTTCCTTCTCGAAAGGTCATTACTACTCAAACGAAATTTGGGTGTTGGCCCTCTCTTCTCTTTGCCAAGCTGACAGGGAATCCCATTGTCACAAGTCTCACAACTGCGAAAATTCGATAGGTCTATGTCAGAAAATGAGGCTGCGCTCCGGATTTTCAGCATCTTCTCTCGTGTCAAAAATGCCAAGTCTTGAATCTGAGGAGAGAAGAATCGGCTGCCGATGGCAGCACCTCATGCTCAGATGGCAAAAGATCAGAACCGGTGTCGAAGGAGACACGACGGCTGACGTTTGTCCCGACGGTGTCGTGCACTGCCAAGCGTGCGAAGAGTTTCCAACATCTCCGACAGCAATTGGGCCAAGCGCCGATCGTCGATCGTCGAGGCCGTCCCAACACGCGAAACGGGCTCGATTCGTTGCAGTGCGAGTCTCTCGTGGCCCGCATGGACTCTTCCACTCCAGGCCCGGACGATTTGTCGAAGGAAGGATTCTCAGGGCGGCGAATCCCGAGCTGCTGCGCGGTTGACGTGCCCGCGGAGACGGGCTTAGAATCTACCAAGTGAAGTGGCCCGGAGCAAATGCGCGAGGAACGAGGCCGAGTGCAGATCAGATGCACCATCTCGGTCGAGAACGGCATCATCGAACTTGTCATCCTAAAATTATTTTCTCAAAAAATGTAATCAATCCCAGTCTCCGGCATCGTTACAATCTCGCACAACGAATCTGACACAGCTCCGATCACCCAATGAGCCGCAACGGAGGCTGCGGAATCGCAAATCTCGAGAATGAGAGGGTCGAAGAGGGAATCGGAAGCGAATTCGGCAGGTCCACGGCCAACTCGCGAGCGAAGCGCGTGCCGAGGATTGCCGAGCAGAAACGGTGGCACGAGAGGGAGGAGATGGCGCAGCAGTATGTGCACTGCGTCAAGGATCCGCCGTGCCAGACCTGCTGTCGGTACAACGAGAGGCTCTTCAAGACGATCTTGGAGTCGAAGCGACCATTTCCGCCTTACAAGCACAAGATCACCGATTTCACTCACTCGAGGCCCAGATTCCTCTTCGGGCGGCGCGACGAGGGCTGCTGCAGGAAGAGCGACGCCAAATCATGCTCGCTTCTGTATCACGGCCTTCAGGCGTCGGATGTCACCTCGTGGACGAGGTCCGTGCCTCCGCCGCATCCCAACCATCCCGATGTCGTCAATGCGCCCAGTCCGTGGTTCGGTCGCGAGCCTTGCGATGTGACCAAGCCGTCGGAAGCTGCGTCTCGGTGTCCCAGACCGCCCTCGCGAGATTATTTCTACGGAATCGAGGCCTCGGATGTCACCGCCACCACGAGGCGCGTCCCTCCTGCTGCTGCTGCGCCCAAAGACGAAGCGGAGCGAGGCAGGGAATTTATCGGTCGGGCGAGGACTGATGTCACGAATTTCAACGCTTTCATGGAAGGGATTGGCCACTACGAGAAACCTCCGATTGGGAAACCTGCGATTGCGCCCGATGCCTGCAGAGGGTTTGGACCTCCAGGAAGGCTTCTGAGACCTCGGCTGAACCTGCCAGCCCTGCCAGCGTCGTCACATCCTCCGCCTCTGGACAAAGGAAGCGCCAAAGGCAACTGGAAAGAAGACGACGAGAAAGCATTTCTCTCGCGCCAGCCTCCGTCTTCGGAAGCATCATGCACGGATCGCAATCGAGCTGCTACTGCTGCTGCTGCAGCAGCAGACGAGCCGAAACTGCGCACCGATTCGTCGGCCGCTGGAACTCCGTGCTCGATGCCGATGCCGAAGACGAGCAGCAACACAAATACGAGTCTGTACTCGCTGTCCAGGCTCTCGGAGGCCGCCAGCAGCAGCAGCAGCTGCTGCGCCGACAGTCCTCGAATTCTCAAGCGCCCCGTGCTCTCGCCGTGCGACGAGCGCTCGCTGCTGATGGCGCGCGATGCGTCGGGCAAGCTCCTGGAGCCGCCGCCTGTCCGGAACGCCTTCTCCGCCAAGCCGCCCAGGCCTCCCACTCGAGCTCTGCCAGCAGCAGCAGCGGCGGCGGCGGCGGCTCCAGATGCATCGAGACCAGGGGAGGTGATCTGCAGGCACCCGCCATCGAAGCCGTGCAGCTTGAGCTGCTTCGAGCCGTCCCCGTCCCCGTCGTGCAGTCGCAGCTATGGCGGCACATCGGGAGCCAGTAAGCTGCCGGACATTTTTGCTCGAAGGAGCAAATTCTCGCCGAGGTTTTCGAAGCGCGAGAGCAGCAGGTGCGGGACTCCACTGTGGAAAGCTGGGCCGTCGAAATCGTCTCCTTTTTTTCTGCCTTCCGCACATTGTCAAACCTCGAAGCCTCGAGTTCATGAAGACACTCATGACAAAGCCAGATGGAAATCTGCCATGGAGAGAGATGGATTTCCCTGCGGCCCCCGCAAGCGAATGCTCGGCAGAGCGGATTGGAAGCAGATGGTCAGCCGAGACATTCTCGCCGGCCGGTAGCACTGCTTCGCCATAGCCTCGGATTAGTATCCCTCGACGGATGGTCTGGAAGAGTCGATGTCTGACACTCCTGAACGTGTGGAGATGAATCTCATGAACAGACCGAACGAGGCTGATTCGGATGTTCAGCTTCCAGTGGTTCCTAGTCTTGACAGTATGACCAGTTTTGATTCTCGACGTAGAGAATGTGCCACTGCACTTCTTCTTCTTCCACAGTTGCCCGCGGACGCAATTCGGCTTCCCGTTGAAAAAGGATCGAGCTTCGTGGGGAGAGACGATCGCCTGAATTTTGACGCATTCAACTTACCAACATTCATGACATTATAGAACTGATTTGAAGATTGATCTTCACGGAGGTCCCGTCGGAAGAGTTTGTATATTCTAGGATGATTTGACTGTAGTTTCACTGGATCTGCAATCTTAGTCGATCAGCAATCTTTGTACTCGAAGTCGCATCTAGAATGGACGTGCAGAGCTCATGAAACGTATGATGAGCTCATTCAATTGCCACTGAACGGCAAAATTCAGTAGGCTGCTGTAAAACTGTTCACCAGACCTGAGGACTAACATGAGAGACTAGTAGTGCAAGTTCTGTACTGTTCCTCATGGGAACCCTGACGATTTCATACCCGTGCATAGAAATATTAAGAGGGGTCTCTGCGTTGTGTGTGATAAGACTTCTCTCTCTTCTACCCGTGCAAACAGCTTTCTCGTGCTCCTGTATCTCAGCATATCGACCAACGCTGCTCAGAACGAACCCTCCAGTCCTTGCAGCTTTGCAAGGCCTACGAGAATCTTGGCTGCAGTTTCAGATGCCTTCAGCCTCGGCCCTCTCTTCAACATCTCGGAAATGGTTGGAATTGCTTCACGGCCACCGTGATTGGACATCTCCAACAGCGCAGACACCACACGTCCACGACTGACAATATCCTGGCAGGACATGATGTTTACCAGCACAGGCGTCGCTTCCATACCCGTGATGACTTCGCTGGTTTCCTTCCTTAACTTAGCTAGGCAGTCAAGAACGCCAACATCTGCCGTTCCGTGTGAGACAACATCCATCAACTCTTCTCCTGCATCCTCAAAACTTCCGGGCGGATCATGGTGGCGAGCATGTAGCACCGTGTGGTCTAGCAAATGCTTGCAGTTCCTGGTTGGAACCATCTGCCCTCTACAGCTAACATCGTAGATCAACCAATTCTATCCACCGCAGCTTGGTCTCCAAGGAGCTGAACCAGAGTTTTACGGGCAGTCATAAATCAGTCATAAAGGCCAAAACCATGTAGCTTAACGGTTACACGACGTAATCTATTCCTGTGTCTGGCAGAGTGGACAGATTAAAAGAAATGTTGGGCTTCGGCAGTTTGTAGAGCCTCTGGATGAGCAATGTTTTTCAAAAAAAAAAAAAACATGTTTCTTTCAAGGAACGCAGCGTAAAATTTTGGACAGTCGTAGTTTAAGATTTATCGCACTGGGTCTGAAGACTATCTCTAATGTTTCATTACAGAACGCATTTGCATTTAAAACCGGGCGTTTGGAGTCGCATTTCTAGTTTTCATGACACCATTACATTTGGCGTAGCTTTTACGTATTGTACAAAATACACTTTCCGGGCCACATGGCTTTCCTTCTGAAACTGGAAGTATGTCTGTCACATGAGAGCTTTACCCGTTCAAACACCAGTAGTCGACAAGCGTGTGCAGGAGTTGTGTGATTTACTTCAACCATTCTGTTGTGTAGTTTGCAATGTCCTCAGATGAGAACTGAGTGATCACGCGGTTTGAGCTAAACAACCACACTCGCTCAAAACGCAACTGAATGCAATCTTTGTCGAAGTGTAGAAACGGTAAATCTTCTCTGAATCTACTGATCAACTTCTTCGACACTTCATGCATTTCATCAACGACCACAACAAACACAAATTCGGGTTGGTCTATACTTACAAGAGAAGCCACAAAATAGTACGAAGCAGTGCACGGTCAAGTTCGAAACAGAAGGCGTGGACTTCAGTTACAAGGTTCTAGTAATAATCATGATTTCCATATACGTTTCGTAAATTATATGAGTACACCCAGCTTGTAAGCGGGATAGAAAGAAGGAGCAGGCAAAAATGATTTGTCGGAGCAAAGAATGAGAACCATAAGCTGTGATCTACAGATGGTTGATGGTATGTTACATCATTTACTATTAGCTTAATAACAAACTTAACCTTGAAATCCTAGACTAAATTTATTCAAGTAGCTTGGTGCATGTGGCAACACCTAAGGCGGCAGCCAGATGCCAAGCCGCATGAATGTAGGGAGTGTTGGGCAGTACGTCATCGGCAACGAAGAGGGCACTACCAAGAACAGATGACAAAGTATGCAAACTGTGAGCTTTCCTCAGCTTGGGTTCATTGTGCGCCCTCCTTGCGAAAGTGGCCTGCACAATCACACGTTTAATACTCAGAACGAAATTAAAGTACGCAACTCAAATAAAATAAATTCAGGTCATGGATCAATTCCATAACTTTGGATTCAGTTCAATCACTGTATCTCACAGGTTACTGACCTCCATCAATCCCGTGTGCAGGACAGTGACCAACATCGGCTGAATTGGAATGAGAAAAGCTGAAGCCAGCATTAGCGTCCTGGAATTATCATCCCTTAAGGCCGAAGTCAGACACTGCACAGGGGTCACTGCAATTTATCAAGACATAATTCTTCCCTTACTAACAAACGCATGAGTCGGTGCTCACTTGCCTATTTATAGGGACTCTCAAACATTTTGCAGACCTGACCGTAGACCATCCCGCAATTTATAAAGTTCGCAATGACAGCAAATATAAAATGGCACCCGTATCATCATACCAGGGCTGCTGTGGCAATCATTGCATAATCGCCAAATCTGAAAATCTTCCGGGCTTCCCCTCTAGATGTGTGGTAAAAGCAAGACGCCATGCCAACACCTATCAACGAGTTTGCATAGAGTCTGGCAGCCGGTTTTTTCCTGAAAAGAGGACGATAGATAAGACAACAACTATTACATCAGTCCAAACCTTCGTCGACAAGGTTACCGACCCGAGCATCTGTGAGTAAATTATCACAATGCGTCTTGCTTCCTCAAGTCCAATACAGATGTGGCCTGTATATTGATACATTTGGACACGAAATGATATGATGGTGGGACAAGAACGTCATCCATGACCATACCTCGGGGCCTGGAGTCCAATAGCCACAAACGGGATGGATGTCACGACGTTCACTAGAGTCTCCATCACGGAGCGGTCACCTGTCGAAGAGAGGCAAATGAATAAAGAGGAAGACCCCTCAGCTTCAGAAGCAAAGAAATGAATGTTCCATTTGAGTTATCTAAAATATCACATGTGGAGCAGGATTCGAGAGCGACCAACTAGCTGTGTAGCTAAGGTGATAAAAAACGTCGATTACATGTGCGTTCCTTCCGCTATTTAACCATTTCGGGTTTCAACTATCTCTTCATAGTCTCGAGGGGTGTAGGTCTGAAAAAGCGTGTAAGATGATCACCATTGTGCCCGCAATCCATAGTCTTGAACCAAGCGGGTCGTGACTCCCACACCGCTTTCCAAACTGGCTGTTCTGGTGGCAACTGAACCAGTTCAGCTTCGTTCACATACGTAGACCTGAAAAAGACGTTCATGAACATAATCAGTTCCAGAAGCCTACCACATGTTCACAATTTGATGCAAACAAGTTTCCCAATTTTCTTTTAAGGACTATTAGTGACATAGCGACTGGAAGTGAATCTGTAAAAAATTCAAGATACCAGATATAGTACAACTAAATACACTCACGTAGGTTGCAGGTGCAGCCCATGGTTTCGGCAATGAGATTGCGAACTCAGTTCGTCTTCGGGTACTGTGTCCACTTTATTGGAGTGCACCAACTGAACGCCTTGAAGCTCTCTGAACAGCTTTGCAGGACTTGGTTGATGTCCAAACTTCATAGTTACTTCCTAAACCCTTCCCTGTACTCTGACAGAGGCCAAATCCGGAAATCCTCCAGCTTTGATTACCTCGGGTCCTAGGAACGGGATGAGGTCTTCCACTGGCGTAATCTGTGGATATAGATATGTGAATGGAGAGATGTCGCACGCGAGATGATTCTCAAGGCCTGCGTTCTAACATCTGCAACAATGGGTTGCTATGCAATTCAGCAGAATGAGATATCGTACCCATGATTTACGTGACCGACTCTGCACCTGTTCAAGAAGGAAGAAGTAGTTGAGTCACAAAACTAGACTGTAGCGACACTCCACCCCAAGAATGTATAGGAAAACTACTGAAATTCCTCTGGCATCTAGCATGGCAGAGTATTCCGCAATACTCAACAAAAAAATTGCATACGACTGGCAAGAAATGCGCGAGGGTTATATTCAGACGATCCTCGACACCGTAATCACTAAGGAATCAAGAATATCGTCTTGGTGTAATGCTCACTAGAACTGTTTTCGGTCTCAATGTACAGCCAAGGTAGCAATACAAGAAATCTCCATCCAAGAACTTTCTAAGCTCAAGCCACGGCAATGACCAATAGGTGTCTGAGTCCGTTCTAGCTAGAATTCTTGGTATGTAAACTTGAGTTCGAGGTAAAGGGCACTCCGCCCAGTTAATAGAATCACGATTCGATCAAGAGAACAAAGAGGCACACGGCAGCGAAGACCAAAACATGTGCCTAACACAGACCTCCAATCTGCATGTCAAGACGTGGTTTCAAAGTCTAGATTAGCATACTCACAATTCCTTCAAATAAGCGGAATGTTGATTAATTTTGGCCACAGTACCCAACCGGAAACTTGTCAAATCAACTAGCATACGCCTGGTCTTGGCGTTTCGAGCAATTCACTCCTACCAAGGTAACAAATCATCTCGCGAACAATTTCTCAAGAACGTCGTAGCGCAGAGATGACCCCCGTACAAATCTGATAACAAGACGTCCCAGCACCTGAAACGCCGAGAATCCATTAGTCCTGAAGCGCAATATCTCTCCCGAGTCTGCTCGTTTCGAAACTGAAGGAAGGGCTGCCCAGCTAACCAAGACCAGAAAAATAACAGAAAGAAAGGAAAAATCAAAATGGCAGAGGCAGCGCAGCATGAGAAAACTAAAGCCCGGCCTGAGCACAGACCTGTCAGCAGGCCGTGAAAATCAGTTCTCTCGAAAAAACCGACGACAGGTGCAGATGGTCAATGCCACGGCTGCGTAGCGAGATCTTGAAAATTCACAATCTTGATGCGGCGAATTGAACTGGAGGAAGAGAAAAAAAGAGCGCAGATGGAAAGAAGGAAAGCCGGCGAGACGTCTCCCTCCAATCCAATCCCTGGCCCTTTCCTTCCTTCGGCTCCCTCTCGCGCCTGCCTATGCCTCTGCCTCGGCCTGTGGCCCTGCCTCTCGCTTTCTCTCGCCCCGCCCTGTTCTCTCTGCTGCGCGTTTGTGCTGAGCTGTAGGGCCCTTCTGCCAAATGGGCGTGGGGCCTGCGCTTCCTCCCGTTCTGCAGATTTTCCCTGCGCCTCCCGTCAACCCGTCAACCAGCCCACCAGCCTGACGCGGGCGCGTATGCGGCGCCTGAGGAAGGCCCCGTTCTGTACGGTGTCCAGGTGGAACCTGGAACCCCGGTTCCCTGTTTCCATGCTTTCTCGTCCCTCTTCATTCTTTTCCGTATCCTTCGCCGCGCTTCGATCGAACCTTGTTCCTTTCTTTTGGTTCTGTTATATCTCTCTTGCAGTTTTCCATCTGCCTTAAAGGTCTGCTTCAGTCGCTGACCTTTTTGAAAAAAGGGAGACAAAATATCGGATGGTGTCACTACTCCTTGGAGTGAATCAGAAGGAACCTGAAACCATGACTTTACTTTCTCCATTCATATTATTTCATGGGATGCGAGTTGGATTGATTCGTTGGAAACAGAAAAATAATTCCAGAATAATAATGAGAGTTCAATCCATTACTCGTTGCGAGACATGTTTTCCTCTAAATGAAAGCTAAGAAAATTCATATAACGACGTGGACGATCACTTTTAACATTTTACATATTCTACTAACTTTTAACATTTTCTACACTATCTTCGCCACAAGTCTCAAATGTCGCTCATGGTTGAAATGGAGAAAATAGCATCCACAGAAGCGTGTGACATTGTGATTCAGTTGCAACTCCACCTGGTTAAGCACAAGAGGTCATCTTTAGCGTCGAGATGAAGGCACTGTATGTAATGAGCGACGAACCCCAACGCGTCCCATGGACATGATTAATGGCACAGCACCAATAACCGAATCACAGAATACAGACAACAGATTCGATCGCGGTCTGACGCCGGTGGTCCAGTGGTCCACCGTCTCGTGCGGCCACATGGTCACCGCGGAGACGGAATCTCGGCCTCTCGAATATTCCACAATCCTTTCCTTCGTCCTTACTGGCTCGATGGCCTCCCGTCATACCAGTCCAACTCTTGACCCCAGGACCGAACGTAACGGCATCGAACTTTTGGATCGAACGTCGCCGCGGCCTTTTCGATTGGTCTCTTTTTTCGGTGCCTCGGTCGCGAAGATTTCGCTCCTTCCGCTTTTCGCCGGGAGGCTTCCGGATCGAGACTCTGGAGGTCTACTACCGTACTGACTTCGGTACACGACAGCTGCCGGTGTCCGAGCGAGAAAGCGGTGGATTCTATGGAAGAGTAACTCGGAGAGAGAAGGATGAATGAGGATCTCGGACCGACGACCGACTGGAATAACTGTAGGCACCTGATGACCTTCATAGACTTCGGTTGGAGGGCAGCGGCTTCCCCGAGAAAAGATAGGACATCAGGCACCAATGAAATTGAATCTGCGAATATCTTCGTCGATGCGATACGATGCGACGGGATGTGATGACAAGTTAGCAGCAACTGCGTAGGCAGGCAGTCAAGCAATCCTTCGACTTATAGACCGCCGATCGCATCGAGAACGTGCATTCGCATCTTATCTGAAGTAGACAGAACAGCGCCGAGAAAATTGCACGGCCGAAAGTCTTTTGGGCACGTGACCATTGTCTGTGCGATTGCAGTCCCGGACTGTCACCGTCTCGAGCAGTGATCAGTTCGCTAACTTCGATCGCCTTCATGCTTTCGGTACCTCGTGCCCCACAATTCAACACTTCAGACGCAAAGTGATCAGTCTGCTGATTTGATTGCAACCAACGGATGAAATCGAATTTTCCGTTCTGCCATGTACTGTGAAAGAGCAGACCGACCGCGTTCGGAACAGCGGTAGATGGGACAGCATATCCCGTTTGGAGATGGCATCCATCCGCGAATATGCTGGTGGACGATGCCGGAGAGTGGATGTCAATTGCGAACCTCGTATAATGGAGAATATGCACTGCGGTGGACTGGATCCCAGCGCCTGGGACTGACTGCACCTTTCCCAATCATCACAGACTTAGAATACTGTTGCTCAAATAGGACAACGTGGGGAGCCTTTCGCCGTGAATATGCCCCGGCAGTATTTTCTGCGCGAAAGTCGAGGTATGATCCGTTATGTTTTGGCCCTCGAGGTGATGTCATCCATACGGTCAATACACCGTTCGCTGTAGAAGCAGTGCATTCCCTTGTCTCGCGTTCTTTAGTCATGAGAAATCGGTGATTTTATTATACTTTATCTTATTTTTCTCTATTGACCTCCGACGTTCTTTGTAGTTGAAGTCTCATTTCTTGTCAATCTCTCGTGATATTAAATTTTAATTACGACTTCGAGACGACACATAAAAAGAAGTCCACTTGATGTGAATTTTTCACTTCAAGACTTACTGTCTTCCAGGTGATTGTACATATTGACTTACATTAAGTATAAGACGTAGATTATATATTAATTGGTTCCAAAAAAACCCAAGACATGGATTAATATTAAAGTTCAACAACTAAATGTTTAAAAAGTATGTATGCTAATAAGCTCTATAAAATACACATTGGTCACCACATGTTTTAAGCCACTACGACATCTCACCACTTATATAGATGCATGTAGGTTACACCATTCGAGCGTTATTCTGAGTCTTGTGTGAGTTGATAACTCACTTCTGGTATATTTTGGTATTACTTTGAGGTATCCCCTCAACGTAGTCTTTTGTTCCATCATGGAATTGCAGTCTGCAACACATTATTAAGAAATCTAACGCCTAAGGGAAAGAGTTTAAGTTGAGGTTTTTGGATTGACACTTGGAGAGAGCCACTGTGATCAGGAGTAGCTGGTTCAGAACCCAGGGCTGCAATGCATGATATGGAATATATATTTCATGCATCATTATCACAATAAACATCAGATTTAGCATATCCTTGTGCATCACAATATTATTTTTAACTTTCAAAACTATTCTATTTCATGTAATGCTCCATTTTAGTTCAAAATGATTCAACATTTTATTAGTTATATTGATCCTGGATATGATCTTTGCGCAAACAACTTTATGTACATTATCAGCTCCAATTGATGTATTTTTTCATGCACATGTGCATCTAGTCAACTAAAGCGGATGATACATAAGTGTTGAAATTTTAGCTATACGTTGCATGATATTTTATGATATATTTGAAGTATAATTTTTTTGAATGCTATTCTTTGATTTTTAAAATTTAAAGTATAATGAAATTTGCAAATTTTATCATTAACTCAAATGATGTGCTGAAAATACACTATCAATAATCACTTCACTTTCTTGCTCCATAGTGAGCATGATATTGATGAAATCAAGTTTTTGATCACTCAAAGTTATAATTTCTACTTTCAAAAATTTTGAATATTTTACATATGCTCAAAACAAAAAACAGCGTTCATGAATAAAAGCATTTGAATTTTTCTCTATGCATTACTATATAAGAAAAATTGAAGTAAGTTTTTAAATCATATTTGGATTATATTAATCATATATCATAAAAAATAAAAACACTAAGCAATAAATTATTTCAAACTATGAAATATCCCAATGTATCAATTTTAGATCAAATTGTTACATTGAAAGATGTATAGATAAACAAAATAAATCAGAAAGGAGGCAATATGATAATTTCAATTTTCTAAAGCTTGAAGTATTATCAAAAGAATTGAAGACATCAAGCACAAAAGTGGCAATAAAATCATTTCAAAAGTTGAAATATGAGATCAAAAAATGTATAAATTCTATACATTTTTGGATTGCAAAAAATTGCAGTATTTGAATGTTGCATGTTTTCATTCAAGTTGAATATTGAATATTAAAATTTCAAATAATTCATGTTTTCAATAGAATAATTGTACACACCCGGATTGTATTCCTTTGATATCATGTTTCTTATGATTGACATGCCTCTATCTTTGCTGTTGTATGTTCAACATGTTTTTTTGTGTTGATGATTTGTTCTTTGAAATATCAGTGTTCGAAATGTTAATTTTTCTATAATGGAAAGATTTGAAAATCCAAAAAATTTACAATTATATAGTGAATACTTGTGATGAGGAAAACTTATGCATCGCCTTTGTTGTATGTATTTGTGGTGTCTCTGTTACCTCGTGTTACGATTTCTGTATCTAGTTGGGTACATATACAGATTATTCTTCTAAGCGTTTCATAGGAGAAATCACTAAGGTCAGAAGTTTGTGCATTTGTAGCTTATTGCTATAGCAACTTTGGCCTTTGCTACTTTTAGAATCTGGCATAATAAGATCAATCTGACCTTAGTTAGATTTCTAGAATATTTACTTGAAACAATTTTATGAAAACACTTCATTGATATTTCGTTTTTTGACCTCCGCCCGAATAAAACTTGGTACACAAAAGTTACGGGGTGATTAAAGTGAATTTTCTTGTAAGTGATCATTCCTATCACCTTTTTTTTCCAAAACAAACTCAATCAAAGTTGAAAAGTAATGAATGATTTTCTGACAAGTAAATAATTGAAAACCTATTTTTAAGCCAGTTTCTAGTAACAGCGGGTTGGTCCATATACTCGAAACATTGAGTGTCAAGGCCATGATTTCTTTCCCCAACTTACTGCAATCAAGTCTGAACTTTTGATTTAATACAACAATGACTTGCATTGGATCTCGGCTTAATGGTTTAGGGTAACTAAAGAATTTTTTCTTTAGTTCTTCAGCTCCGATACCATTTGATCAGTTGATTAGATTTGACATTGAGGGCCATGCGATCCAGTCTGGTCAATCATAGGAACAAAGCAGATGTCACATGCCTTCCGAGCTCCCACTACGCCAAAGAAATTCTGCTTTTGAACTAATCTCTTCGTCAAACAGATTGCAAACACTTTCACCTGCGATCTACTTCATTCCGCCAGGAAGTGTAGACGTGATTTGAATTTTATCCTATTCGCCGCTCAAATCATGCAACAGTCGTTACATCAAAAGCTTTAGAATAAGCTAGAACTCAAATAAGAGCATTGAAATAACTCCGAGGTCAACATAATTCCACAAGTCTGATGATTTAAGTAGGAATTCAATAAGCAGTGCTGCCAAGCAATTAGATTCCAAGCCAAAATTGTCCTTCATCCATTCATGCAATAAACCGCCACCACAAGATGCCAACATGAATTTTCTGGAAGTGTCACAACTTTGAAGCCAAATATTACATTCAAATAGTGGGCTATAGTGGAATTCTGATGTGCACTTTTGAATGAAACGATCCTCATCCGTTCTTCGTGTATTTCTGCTAGTCCAGCCCGTTTCTTCCGTCAAGATAATTATTGTGGTTTTGCGAAGATACCATTCTTCACAAAACTTCGCTACTTCAGAGGACACTAGAGCGAAAATCCGGAGTAAACTATGTACCCAGACATGTCTACAACATGTCACTGTCAGAAAGGTTTGGAAGAAGCGAGGATCTTCGATCTGTTTGATGTGAGCTTTTCTCTCTTCGATTTGTTCGTCTCTGCTGCCTTTAATGGGACGTGAGTCTATCAACAATGGTTCACAGTGAGCAAAGATCTGCTCGAGTTGAAGAACCAGTAGCTTATGAGCTCAGTAGATCTGGCAACGACAGGGCGTGAGTCAAGTGATTCCATTCGGCTCAACCCTCTGCTGGAACTCGCAGGACTGAAAGCATCAGTACGATTTTCTCAAGACTCCTGCTGTTGGAGCTGGGGAACTCTCCCTCCAGGATACGGAACACCTGCTTACAGCGTTAACCGATGGCTTGAACTTCGAGGGCACTGTTAGATTTTTGCGACACCTAAGTTGCAAAATGGAACAGATGAGGAAATTATGCGACGATTTCTTCGCAAGGCTCCTGAAGCTCACAACGATGCATAAGTGGTGATGTGTTTGCGGTCGCTGAAGATGGTACCTGAGGTAAATTTAGCTCGTTTGACCTGAACTTAATATGCACTATCAGT